GCATTGCAAGCATATATAAGCCTGCAACTTTTTTAATAAACTTAATAAAACCTTTTAAACCCTCTTAATACTTAAATAAAGATTAAAAGAACTTAATAACCCTTTAGCATTTCTAATTTAAATACTTAAGGGTTAATACTCTTAAATTATTAATTTAACATGCCTAAGGCATAAAATTTAAGAGAATTAAATAAATTAACTATAAGAATTGCTTTAAAGCCTTTGCTAAAAAAATAGTTTAATATAAGCCATTAAAAGATAAAAGCTTAAAACCCTTTTTTTAAATTTTATAAAACCTTTTTTACTATTTATAAGCATTAAATAAGTTAAACTATAAGCTTATAATAATAAATAAGTTCTTAAAATTTATTTATATCTTCCCCCTTATATTAAAAACTTAAAAATAAGTATTTAACATTCTTTAAGCTTATAAAAGCTAAGTAAAATAATAATATAATTTAAATATTTATAAAATTAAATAAAATGCTAAAGTAATAATAATTAGCCAATTTATAAATATTAAATATATTAAATAAGTAAAATAAAAAAGTATTAATTTAAAACTCGCTTCCCCTTAAACCTTAAAAGCAAATAACATTATAAAAAGAGCTAATAAAGCAATAATTAAATATACTTTAGCTATGCTATTAAGGGCTAATCTACCTTTTAACCTTTAGCTAAAGGCAATATAGGCTACAGCTTAATTATATAATATATTGCTTGCTTTAAGAAAAAAAAGGCGCGCCCTAAATACTCTTTTATATATATAGTTTTCCTATTATTTTTAATAATTTAAATTAATATAAATTCATTATTTTATAATTTATTTATTACTTTATTAAAATAATATTTATATTTATAAGTATAAAGCATATATGCTTAAAAAGAAATATAAAAATAATATAAAAAAACGCCTTATAAAGAGGAAACTAAAAGCTTATATTAAATATTTAATTAATTATATAGCATTTAATATCTTTTAAATCTAAATTCCTTTACTTAAATAAATAATTTTTATAAGAAATATATAATTTAATAAGAATATATTTTATAAATTAATAATAAATAAAATAAAAAACAGCCTTTTAACTTTTAAAGTAAAATTATTAAATATTAAAATTATTAATGCTAAGAAAATTTAAAACTATATTTACATTATACCCTTAATACTTTATATAAAATATAACTTAATTAATTTAAATAATAAATTTAATATTTATTTTATATTAAAAAAGAATAAAATTAATACTTTTAATTAAAACTTAAAGGTAAGGACTTTTAAATTTAAAAAGTAAAGTTCACTATATACTACCTTTTTAAAAAGCTTAAAAAATTAAGAATAAAAACTTTTAACCCTTAAAAAAACCTTAAATATATTAAAATAAGGCTTTTATAAAGAGAAATATACTTTTATTAATAAAGCAAGGGTTAATAAACTTAAACCTTTTTTTTAAGAATTATATATATTTAAAGCTATAAAAAATTAAGAATCCTTTTAATTAATATAAATAAAAAAAATATAAAAATAAATTTAGGAATTTAAACCTATAAAAAGATTTTTTTAAATATATAATTAAAATAAATACCCTTAAGAATCCTTTAACTAATCATTATATTTAATAAATATAATTATATTTTACCTTAATATAACTTTTTAAAGTAACTTTATAATTACTTTCTTATTTAATTAATTTAAAAGATAAAAATAAAAAATACTTAAAAATTTATATTTTTTAACCTTAAATAATATAATAATAACTATTATTTAAGCTCTTAAAATTAAGTTTAAGCCTTACTTATAATAATAATATTATAAAAATTTACCTTTAAAACTAATTATATAAAAAGAAACTTAAAAAAGCCCTTTTTAAAATAAATAGCTTAAGGCAATATATTAAAAAATGCAAAGCCTTATTAAGATTAATATTTAAAGGATTATTAAGCGTTAAAAAGTAAAATTAATGCCGCTACCCTTAAAATAAATATATAAATATAAGCTTAATAAGAATAAAATAATTAAATCTTTTAAGGTATAAATTTATATTTAAAAAAACCTATAACCTTATTTTATTATAAAAAGCATATATATCGCAACCTTAATTATAAAATCATTTTACATAATAATAATAATTATTATATACTTTAATTTAAAGATTTAATAATTTAATATTATAATTATATTCTTAAATACTAATTAAAAAGAGTTAAATTAAATTTATTATAAATTGCTTAATAAATTTAAGAAATTAAAGAAATATAAAGTATTCTTAAAGGTACTTTATAAACTTAAAAACTCCTTATTTCTTTAATATAAGAATTTTAACTATATATTATAAAATTTAAGCTTAAAACCCTTATTAAAAAAGCCATACCTTTTTATTAACCTAACTTATAAAGTAATAATCTTCTTTTATATAAATAATATTTTAATTATATATCCTAAGAATAAATATAAATCCTTTATAAGAATTAAAAATAAAATTAAGTTTATATATAAAATAAAGGATTAAAAAAAAGCTTAATAATTCCTAAGCATATAAATTTTTAAAAACTAAGAAAAGCATATTATAATGCTTCTTTATAATTTATATATTAAAAAGATAGTAAATAAATGTAATTTATTAAAAAGTAAAAACCTTTTACTATTTACTTTAATACTTAAAAAGAAGCTTAAGCCTTTTTTTAAATAAGCTTTAAAATAAAAAATTTAAAAGTTTTAAGAAAAAATTAATTTTATTCTTTATATAATAATTATAATATGCCTAAATATAGCATTCCCTTGCTTTATATTATTAAGATTCCTTATAAACCTAAGTTTAAATTATTTTAAAATAGTAAATTATGCAATTTAATATTTATATATTACTTAATTCCTTAAATTATAATTTAAAGAAAATTAAAAAGCTTAAGCGTTCTTAATAATTAAAAACGCTTTATTTATTAATAATAAAAAGAATTAAAAATCTTCCCAAGAATATATAATAACCCTTTTTAAAAGCCCTATATATTAAAAAGCATATAAATAAGCAACCATTTTTATTTTAACCACTAAGGCTAAATTATTAGCTTTAAAGCTTATAACTAAAGAAATAATAGCTTTAAAACGCTTATTTAAAAACATAACTTTAAATTTAAGCAAGCTTTAAATTATTTATTATAATAATTAAATAATTATATACTTAATTATTAATAAGCATAAATAATTAAAAACAAGGCTTAAATATATAAATATTCAATAAATATAATTAAAATAAGAATTTAAAAGGGGCATTTTTAATATTATATACTTAAAAATTAAAAAGATACTTATAAATAAACTTATTAAAGTTTTATTATATGCTTAATTTAAATATTTTAAAGCTTTTTTAAATCTTTAAAATATAAAGAAAGTAATAAAAAGGAATTAATTTATTTATTAATTATTCTTATTATTAAGTTTTTATTAAAAATCCTAAAAACTATATTTTTTAAAAATTATAATATAACCCTTATATAAAAACTCTTTTATAATTAAAAACTACCTTTTAATCTTTATAATAATATATTAATTAATTTAAAACCTTTTTTTAATTATTATAATAACCTTTTAACTTTTTTAAAAAACTTTCTTAATATTTAATTAAATTCTTAATTATAATTTTAAACTAAGATTTAATTATATTTACTCTTTAATATTATCCTTAAAATTAAAGCGCTTAATTATAATAATAATGTAATCCTTATACTTTTTTATAATTTTTATATTATTAATAACTTAATTTTAAAGCTTTTAAGCCTTTATATTAATTTTATTATATTACTTTAAAATAATTATAATTTAAGCTTTAAGGCGCTTTATTATATCCTTATACCTACTTTTTATAACCTTTGCAAATTATTATTGCAAAATAAAAAGCTTTTAAGTATTAAAAAGAATTATAAGAATATAATTAATATAAGCAAGATTAAACTTTCCGCGCTTATATATATTTAAGGCCTTCTTTTAAATATATTAAGACTTTTTAAATACTAAGGAATTATTAAATTAAGCATAATAAAAATAAAGCATAAATAGCAAAAAAGTTATTAAAAGCAGCTTATAAAAATTGCCTTAAATATAATAATAGTAATAATTACCTTTATTATTATAATTTATATAGGAATTATTATTATAATTATATATAAAACTTTTAATATAAGGAAAATAAAGAATGCAATGCTTATTAATTTTCTTAAGCTTCTTTATATCCTTTTTTTTTCTTTATACTTTATTTTAACCTTCTTTTTAAAAAGGAGTTTTATTTTAAGCTTTAAGCTATTTATATATACTTAAAGGTTCTTTAAAGCTATATTAAGAATTAATATATATTTTAAAATTAATTTTTAAATTAATTAAAAAACTTACTCTTAAGTATATTATTTAATAGCATTTTAATAAAAGCATTAAAGCTTTTATTATTTTTATTAATAAGCTCTTTATTAATTTAAATATACTTATATTTTTTCTTTTAAACCTTAAGAATATAAAAAAGTAAAATAGCTTAAGGCTTAAAAGCTTATTTTTTATTGCTTTTAATTATCTTTAATATAATTAAAAAAATACTTAAAATTAATAAAAGTAAGTATTTTTAAATATAAATTTAATTAAAAAGTTTAAAAAAAAGGTTTAATTATTAATTATAAGCTATATTATAAAGCTATAAGTAGTTAAAATTTAAGTAATAAAGTATATATATTATAAAAAAGGTTATATAATTAATAGCTTAGTAAGTTGCAGCTAATGTTTTTAAGTATAAATTAATTGCCTAAAAAAGTAGGGCAATTAATAAGGTAAGAACCGCCTTTTAACTAAGGAATATATTATATGTATATCCCTAACCCTAATTTGCAACTACTTTTTAAAATGCTTAAATAGCCAAATTTCTTTTATTTCCTCCTTTTAAACTACTCTTAGGAGATAAATACTTTTACAATCATGCTTTTAAACCCCTCACAATACTTGTAGCCTTCCACAGCAGGACATGTCCGAGGGCCAGCCCGGCGTTCCGCTGACCCTCGACGTTGGTGTTCTGGACATGGCGACCTGCGAGCCCCTCGAGAACGTCCTGGTTGATTTCTGGCACTGCAATGCCACCGGCAGCTACTCCAGCTTCACGGCGCTCAGCCCGAACACGCCGTTCTTGGAGCTGCTGCAGTCGCTCAATATCTCCTCAGAAGACTGTACGTGCATTCGGATATCTTGATGCCTAGATTTCTTGTCAGTATATTGACTTGTCTTAGATAATATCGGCGTCACTGATCTCCACACGGACGATACGACCTTCCTGAGAGGCATGTGGCCCACGGATTCGAACGGCATGATGGAGATGAAAACAATCTTCCCCGGCTTCTACGTGGAGCGGGCGATCCACATCCATGTGCGGGTATACAACAACTGGGTGCTGCGAGAGAACGGCACGCTCTCGTCGGGCGACATCGTCTCGGCGGGCCAGCTGTACTTCGACGAGGAGCTCGAGGAGAAGATCATGGCCCTCGACCCTTATGTGACGCACACTGAGATCAACCGCACGACGCATGCTGTCGACAACATTTTTGCAGACTCGTTTGCCGGCGGGTACGATCCTGTTGTCTCCATTGTGGCCGCCGACGGCGAGGATGTTACCAAGGGAATGAGTAAGTGACTCTGGAGAAGATGCCTTTTTCTATACGAGTGGGTACAACTTGCTGACAAATCTCCTAGTCGGATATATCACAATTGGTGTTGATACCACTGCTATTGAGACTCACAGCCTGGGTGGGCTTGATGAGCCGGTTGATGAGAACGGTCATGATGTCTAATTGGCGTTTTTCTTTTGGGCGCAGGAATATGTGGTACGAGAGTAGCAGAGGCTATGAACTAATTTTGCCCATTTATTGACAAGGTCGAATCTGATCTGATCTGATCTGTGCTTTGGCCTTGCCTGCACATGCTGCATGTGACTACACGTTCTGTGCAATAGTATTGTCTCTTGAACCTGGAAGCAAGGTTGCCGTGGCCGCCTGATCATGCACGCCTCGAGTCTTGGGAACCAAGGAACCAAGGAAACCAGGCACGGTTGACTCGGGCAGTTTTTAGCGCCGTGGGTACCGGGTGCACCCCCCTAGGCGCTGGAATCCGGGGTGAGCAAATCAGAGTCGGCTCAATCCGATCCCAGCGCGTCACATGCGAAATCAGAAAAAAAAAAACCCCGGTACTGTACATCCGCACCCAGCCAGCCAGCTTGCGTTTGTACGTGTGTACGACGTACGGTGCAGGACGCAGCTCCACAGGTGATCGCCAGTCTCAGCCAACTGGACAGGCTGGATCAGGCGGCGCCTGCCCCGTCTGGGCTGTCATGGCCCCTGTCTGACCCCGTTGTGTGGGCTTCTGAGATGGCATCCATCGCTCATGCATGCCATTGCATAAACATAGTCTACCATGTCCACTCCATACTGTACTGTACGTACGGATGTACTGGTCTGCAGGGGAACGGATGGCATGTGAAATCCGTCTCGTCGCACCCTGCCTGCGACCAGCTGACTGACTCCTGGCGCACGCTGGCTGGCTGACCGACTGATCGACTGACGGCCGGACTGGGCGGACTGACTGACTGACTTTGACTGCATGCTTTTCGTCCGCGGAGCAGCCCTAGATATTTGATCGTACTCGAGCGGGGGCTGCATACGCACCACTGCACTGCAACCCGCAAGTGTGTTTGTTTCGTGTCTATCGGCACTTTGGTTTTATCCGTTGACCCAACCATTCCCATTTGTCTCGCGTGTTTTCCTCCTCACCGCGATCATCCTGTGCTGTCTCGTCCCGACTCGACTCGACTCGACTCGGCTCGACTCCTCCATCCACCTCGCCTTGGTCCCTGGTCTAACTCTGGGCCCACCCTCCTTCTCAAAGCTTCTGTCCAAATTGTTGAGCCCAGTTGCAACCAACCCCCAAGTCGTCACTGGGTGTCGCCTGAGGGAATGTCCAAGCATTCTTGCCCTGTATCCTTTTCAACATTGCTACCTCTTTCCCCGCGCGGGCTCTCCAACACCTGACACGCTTCAACCAGCACCGGACTCAGCTAGTATTTGCATTGGCATTGGCGTTGGTACCAGCATTCCGACAGACACGACTCCAGCCTAGCTCAAAAAGAACGTCGACAGAGACAGAACAAGACATTTTTCTATAGTCAAACAGCCGAGACACGATTTCAGGGTCCTGCATACCATACGAACACGAGCAAAAATCAACACCTGGCCCGCTGCCCTCAACCCTTCCATCCCATCTCTCTCTCCACGACTCCCGCCCACACACGCCCTGGATCCCCCTCTCCCCTACACGTTGACCCCCAACAGACATCCACACCATGTCGGAAGACGGCGGCCCACATCTTTTCCGGCCCATCCCCCGCAGGCCCTTTGAGCTCGGCCTGATGAGCCCGACACCCCCCGACGACGACTCTGCGCCGCCCAGCCCGACCTCCAACGCGAACGCGACCCAGGCGTCCCTGCTCGACCCCCGCGCCTTCACCGGGCCCGCGGGGGACTCCATCAGCCGCGCCGCCTCCTACAAGAACCTGACCAGCTCCACCCTCGCCGGCATATACTCCCACAACATCTCTGGCTACCCGGCCAGCGACACTGTCTACGGCTCAGAGCCCCCAGACACGCCCTGGGGCACCGGCGCCGAGACGCCCGCCACCGCCGCGAGGGGCTCCGTCGACGAGAGCATATACAGGCTGGTCAAGGACCGCTCCTCCCTGCTCAAAAGGCGGAGGTCCTCGGCGCTGTCGAACCGCTCGGGCCACTCGCTCCTCCAGCAGCAGCAGGGGGGCTCGCCCACGCAGACGGCGCTGTCGCTCGCCCTCCGTACGGCCTTCCTCTTCGTGCTGGGGCTGGGCTACGGCGCGATCCTGTCGCGGCTCTCCACGGAGCAGCAGTGGGCCTCGTTCCCGGTCGAGGGGATCATCAGACACCGCTACGATTCCGCCTACCTCGCCTGCTGGGGCGTCTTTGGCGTGGCCCTGGGCAGCCTGCTGCCTTGGTTTGACGGGAAGTGGGAACAGGCTTTTGAAAAGGGCGAGGATGAGGATGAGGAGGACTTCAAGGAAGAGGAGGAAGAGCCAGGGACCGACTGGGCCCTCGTGGTCCGTGGAGTCGGTGCCTTTGTTGGCATTGTGTTCGCTATTGTGAGTCGTTCCTCTAATTTTGGCACCACGCGTTGGGTAGCAAACTAACGTCTTCACAGAGAAAAGTCCCCTGGGCATCCACGATGCAGGTGTCCATGACACTGGCCATGGTCAATCCATTTCTGTGGTACCTGATAGACCGGTCAAAATCTGGGTTCCTGCTGTCCGCCGCCGTCGCCTGGGCCGGCTCGGTCATCCTCATGGGGTTCAACCCCGACATCGTGCCGGCGCCATCTGGCTTTTCCTCAGAGTTTCTAAGCCGGAACCACACGGGCAACGGCGGCGGCGAACCGCTGATGCTCGGTGGGCTGGCCACTCAAAAGACTATAGAGACGGGGATCTGGGTGTTGAGCGTGCTATTTTGCAGCTGTGTCTGCTTTGGGAATATCGGCAGGCGGCTGGCCCTGAACAGGTCAGCGGCAGGTCGTGGTAGATGGGGCGGGCTGAAATGAGCGCTCTCTTGTCGTCCCTGTTGTACCCTCTCTGTCACGGGTTTTGGCTGGGAGTTTAGGCACCTGGATTGCCGGATGCTGGTATTGGGGTGGAGTTTGACTAAACTTAAAAGTTCAAATTGCATTGTGGTCGCCAGAGACCAGTACAATCCATTGATTGCACCGCGAGTGTCAAATTCAGGTGGGAATACTTCACTATTGTACAGACGAACAGCAAGAAACCGCGTCTGCTTCGTTTGAGTACGTCGATCACATTTACGGATCGTAAAAACAGACCAGGATCATCATCACTGATGTCAACCGGCAACTGTGTGACCAATGTTGCCATTCACGCTTTCTTTCATTTTTGGCTCACTCATCATCACTATCTCCATCTTCTTCTTCCTCCTCCTCCTGAAGCTCATCCTCGCTCTCCTCAACGCCTTCCGGCCGGGGTATCATGACAAATGCCTCCACGCAAGTGATCCTGTTCTGGGTGTCGTGGGTGCCCAGCAGCTTCCCAGCCTGCGGCGCCTCCTTGCCGGCCTTGGGCTTCAGCTCCTCCCGCGACAGCTCCCACACCCTCAGCTTTCCATCGCTGCTCGCAGACACGATGAGCCACACGCCCGGCACGTCCTCTGATCGTACGACCTTGAAGTCCTTGACCCTGCCGGTGACGCCCACGGCCTTTCCCCCGACCTGCGCGAGCAGCTTCGCCCGCGGCAGGGGCGCTGCCTTGCCCTCGGGGGCCTCCGGCTGCTCCAGGTCCTCGATCTTGGTCGAGAAGAACAGCACCCTGCCGTCCTCGGTCGACAGCGCAAAGATCGTGTCCTCGGAGTCGTCGTCGAGCCTGACGTAGCCGAACTCGTGGATCTTGGTCCTCGCGTCGGACATGACCCTGCACCGGACCTTGCTGTCCATGCCGAAGACGAGCACGTCGCGGTCGAAGCCGACGGCGAACTCGTCCCCGGACTCGGCGCTGGCACCCCAGACCACCTTCCTCCCCTCGCCGGTCGAGTGGCGCCCCTCGCCGATCTCCTGCAGCACGGCGCGGCCGAAGTCGAGGACGCCGGCCTTCTTGCCGGTGACGAGGTTCCACAGGCGCATGCAGCGCTCGCCCTTGCTGACGCTGATCATGACCTTCATGCTCGGGTGGACGGCGAAGCCGTTGACGCCGCTCGGGGTGCCGCCCATGGGGGCGGTGTCGCCGCTGGGGCGGCCGGAGACGGCGGGGACGGGGGCCTTGATGGTGGACAGCAGGCTCCAGTCGCGCACCCTGGTGACGGCGATAGTGGAATCCTCGGAGCTGGACAGCAGCTTGGAGCGGGTGGGGAACGAGAGCCTGGTGACGGTGCTGGAGTGGTGCATGAGCGTGCCCAGCTCCCTGTTCTTGCTGTTCTCGAGGATGGGCCGGCGGGCGATGGCGGAGAGGAGCTCCTGGTCCGGGGAGGCCTTGGTGGACGGGGGGTGGGCGGACAGGTTGTAGACGTTGATGCGCTCGTCAGTGCTGCCGGTTGCGAGCATGACCTTCTGCGACTGGCCCGGCAGGGGGGCGCTCGGTGGGGAGAGGGCGAGGCATCGGATGGCCGAGGTGTGGGCGTTGAAGAGGAAGGAGTCGGCGAAGTTTACTTGGGAGGAGGGCTGGATTGTGGCTGTGACGCCGTGGAGGACGCGGTCATAGGAGCCCGCTATTATTTGTATCGTTATGGGCAACCCAGTGCGTTTTGGTGTTGTCTTGTCGGCGGTGGTGGTATTGGGACTGGCTCTGGCGAGCTTGGGTGTCCTGGTTCTCTTTGGCTGCTCTGTCTTGGGCTGTAAAGAGCCATTGCTGGACTTCAATTTCTTGAGTTCCTGTGGCTTTTGGGCGGGCTCGCTCTCGTCCACTGCTTGGCGCTTCCTCTTGGCCATTGTGTGAGTATTTGTGAGGTTATAACCGTGGTTTGGCTCGAACTGGGCAGACGATAACAAGTGCAAAGGTTCGAAGATGGGAAGCTATCGCAGACTTTTTAGTGGGTCCATGCGAAGTCCGGCAGGCAAGGGTGATCTTCGCAGGGGCTGGGCCTGTTTAGCAACAAGATCCCTGGTATGAGCAGCAAGCCCACGGCAACAGTGCAGTGCAGCACACATGAGATCGTCGACAAACTTGAGTTTATTCTGCACCTTGCATTCCCTATGTGGTTGAACTACCTGTCGTGTGTTGCAATTCCAGCATTGCATGGATGACTTCCATTTCGTTCGCACGGACGACAAACAGTCGAGAGCGTGCAAGCCAACAAGGGCGCAGCATCACTCTCGCAGGGCTGCCGGCCACGTACCTAGGTAGGTAAGTAGACCTACTCGGCAGGGCATGTTGACGCTCTCGTCTTCCCTGCCCTCCCCCGTGCTATGTACAGAAATAAGTTGACGGAAGCGTCGCTGGGGTTTCCGTCAGACCCTTGTCAATTGAGGGCAGCACCCGGCCTCGTTCTCGTGCAACCCCCCCCCCCCAATGAGCATGCGTCCAAAGTCATCTCCTTTTGCGGGTGGGTCATGAACGCGCACGCCTCCTAAGATGTAGGGTCCTGCCTCCCGGGACGCGCAACAGAGTGGGCCACGCCAGGGCTGCCATCACGATAGCCACATGCCGAAACTTGCCCACCAGAGACCAACTGCGCTGCAGCCATACACGGCCACGCCGAAGCTGACCAAACGAAACGAAACGGAACACCATGCATCTCCATTTACTCCCGCGGCTGTCAGGTGGAACCGTTGGGAAAGCTGGCAGTGGCTTTACTATAAAACAGGTCGCGATGAGACCTCTCTTTCAGATGGGAGAGATCACCAACAGCCGCGCTCACTAGGCACTCGACCCAGGAAGCAACCACCACCTTCACTTGACTGCTCTCTTTCTTTCTTTCTTTCTCTTTCTTTCTACAGACATTCTTTCTCGACTTCTTCTTCAAGTTCTCCGGCCTGGCCCTCGTCGCCAGCGCCATCGCCCACCCCGGCGAGAAGCACTCTCCCGCCAAGCTCAAGAGGGACCTCGCCATCCGCGATGCCCATGCCCAAATGGGAGCCCGATCTCTTGCCCAATGCCAGAACTCTGCTGGCGCTCAGGCTCTCAAGCAGCGCTCCATCCAGCGCCGCGCTGACACCGTCAAGGCCCTCCGGGAGAAGCGAGGCATCAAGAAGACCCGTCGTGACCTGGCTGCGCTGCAGGACTGGGAGGCCCAAAACCACAACTACACGGGCTTGTCCAACAACGACATGTTTACCCCTATCGAGAACGTCTTTGACGCTGTATGTCTTCTAATCTCTTTTCTATATATGGCGATGCTATTTTGACCCTTGCTAATGTGCAGACAGAACACCTCTTGCGTCTTGGCGCCCGAGCTTACAGCCGGCCCATATTATGTTGTGGGCGAGTATATGCGCTCCAACATCAAGGAGGCCGAGCACTCTGACGGCGTGGATATCTTCCTTGAGGTCCAATATGTTGACATCTCCACCTGTGGCGGTGTCCCGCACGTCGCTGTCGATGTCTGGAACTGCAACGCCACCGGTGTTTACTCGGGAGTGAGCGAGAGCTCCTGCCAGGCTGGCATCGACACCACCTTCCTCCGTGGTATCCAGCTCACCGATCACGATGGTGTCGTCCAGTTCGAGACCATCTTCCCGGGTCACTACACCGGCCGTGCTATCCACACCCACCTGCTCATGAACGCTACCGTCCAGAGCAATGGCACTATTAGCGTCTGGAACAAGGCTGTGTCCCACATCGGCCAGCTGTTCTGGCCTGAGGACTTGCGCCAGGAGATCAAGGCCCTGGAGCCGTATGCCTCCAACACGGTCGCGGTGACGACAAATGATGAGGACATGTGGGCTCCTCTTTCTGCGGACGAATCTTTCGACCCCTTCCCACAATTCGTTTACCTCGGCGACGATGTCTCCGATGGTCTCTTCGCATGGATCCAGATCGGTATCAACTCCACAGCCGACTACCAGAATGACGACTACTATGGCGTCGTGGGCTACCTCGATGCTGAGGGTGGCCACGCCTTCGAGGGCGGCTCTGGAATCGGCGGTGGCGGTTCGGGTCCTTCTGGTAGCGGTGCTCCATCTGGTGCTATGCCTACAGGCGCTGCGCCCACTGGTGCTGCTCCTTCATCTTGATCATGTACATGTGCTTGTGGCCGGTAAAGGGGGCTTTCTTTCATTGTATACCCAGATATATCTATGTTGCCGGCGTGGCTATTTTCTCTGCACAATTTGAACAGTTCTTGAGATTCCGCTTGTCATGAAACTTCTCCTGCCCTTATGTGATACTTAGCTATCTGCTCTCGGATTGAGGGGTCCATGTGCTAGAGACTCGCGCCTTATCTTGCGAGCCTGAATGCAGAATCTAACATGGTCGGAAAGATTTGCCTGTCATAGCTTGTAATAACCTTATTGAGAATGGGCAAGTAACCACACATCGGTCAGCCCAGACAAAATGCGATGGAAAGTGAGGAGAAAATTCCACATTCACCCCATGATTTGGCTGCTTGTGCCTATAGGAGATATAGGTTGTTCCCGTGTGTCCAATCCGGATCTTTGTGATTATCAAGGCAACTTACAAAAGGGCGCGCTTGTGAGTTATTTAACTGCCCAGACAAGAAACGGCCGACTGCCTGGAGCCACGTATCCGACCACATTTCACACGTGGGCCAAGCCCAAGTGAACCGGCCCAGACGCAGATCGCCGAGGCAGGTGAGCGGCGCAGCGCTGGGGTTCACGAATCACCCATGGCGAGCATGACGCGGTGCAGGCCGACCCTTCTGGCATCCAACCGGGGTCTGATATATACCATCCGTCGGCCCGAGTCTCGCCCTGGCCTCCTTTGTTTCTGTCTCATAAACATGGATATACTGGTGCTGATTGATCACGAACTGACCGCAGGACATAGCGGTCATGGATGGGTACATGTATCCAAGTGAGTGGCTTTCAACACAGAGACAGCAGGGAACAGAGCATCAGGGCCAGCCGGAAGGGGACGGAACTGGTACACGCCCTCGGAGTGGCGTTCCGTTGGCACCTTCACACACATCTTACGGCAACTTATGGCTCAACCCTTCCAATGCAGGAGCGCCTGGGACATCAGTCCGTGACCCAGCCATGGCGTATCCACAACCCGGATGGACCATGCCCACGCAGTCAACTACACCGTATTACGACGGCCATGTCCTGCCAGCCTCAGACGAGCCCATCCCGGAGAGAGACCTGCGCATTGTCAGTGGGGGCTCGATTATCGAGGCAGATTCGGTGTTCGACGAGGAGAGCGGGAGGACCTACCAGGACCACCCCACCGCGAGATACATGTTTCCAAACGACGCAGCGGAGCAGGACCGCTTGGACCTACAGCACAAAATATGTCGGATATATCACGGTGGGGCCCTCCACCGGGCACCCGTTGGCCTGCCCAGGAACGTTCTCGAGATCGCCACCGGCACGGGTTTGTGGGCAATACAGTACGCAGCCGAGCATCCTGGGTCCAAGGTCACCGGGACCGATATCAGCCGCATACAGCCCTCTAAGATACCAGACAACTGCTCATTCGTCAAGGAGGACTCGGAACACGATGAGTGGATCTTCCAGGATCCGTTCGGCTTCATTTACATGAGGCTGGTCAGCTGTAGTTTCGATGACTACCCAACTGTGTTCCGGAAGTGTTTCGACAACCTGGAGCCTGGTGGCTGGTTGGAGCTAAACGATAGCACGTTCGTGCTTGCCTGTGACGATGGCAGCATCCAGGGCACGAGCATCGAGAAGTGGTCCCAACGAATGTCCCAAGCGCAAGCTGTTATGGGCCGAGACCCGGAGGTGCCCAAGAAATACAGGCGATGGATGGTGGAAGCAGGGTTCGTCGACGTCGTCGAGCAGGTCGGTCTCCTGCCAGGTGCGTCCGATATCCGATGACCTCGTACTCACCGGGCTGTAACATCAGTGCAGAAGGAAATTCCTGCGCTGCGCTAACACTCAACTCGCGTTCCAGGCAACCCGTGGCCAGAAGATCCAAATCTTCGGGAGTTGGGAAAGTGGCAAATGACAAGTCTCTACCGAGGCCTCCGCGGCCTTTCCTTCAAGCTGCTGCGGGCCCTTGGAATGCCGCCGCAAGCAGTCGAGGAGTTTATCAGTGCAGCTAGGGAGGACCTGAGGAACACCAGGCTCCACTTCTCTTTCCCAATGTAAGTCAGCCCAGTTGACTGATTGTTTAACAGAGTTGGGGACTGACAGTCCTACGCATTAGTTATGTGGTGTACGGCCGCAAGCCGCACGAGTGGGAAATTTCCCAACGCGCGGCTTCTGGGCAAAGATAATACTACGGGCCCAACTATGAGGAAATCCGGAAAGACATGGTCGCTTTGAGGGTTTTTCCTTGGAGGGACACTTTTCCGACCTTGGTTGAATGAGCTTAGTACTGTCTTAGCAGCAACTAAAGCACTTGGATCTTTATGTCAGCAATGTAATATTAATCACTGTGAAGAAAACCTCCACGCTCAAATACAAGTCATAAAGTAATTCGAGTTGGGGCGGCGATTAAAGTTTTCGAAGGTACGTGTGCGACGCACCAACTTCATGATCGACAATGTGTTTCGGGATAGTAGTGCTGACAATGAGTACAAAGATATTGTAAAAGTCAATGTGTGCTCTACGCATGCCCTGAGTAAACTGCTCACTTCTCCACCCTCACCATCCTACGGAAGAGAGCATTGCGGCGCCCAACGCACAGTTCGAATGCTCGGGGGTTCTTTCAAACTTCGACTTTGTCTGCACATAAGTTAGTTCGGAGTGGAACACTGGCCAAACATGACGAGCATAAACACGGCGTCGTTTCAATCATCATGACCGGCTATCTGACAGAAGCCATAGCTCATATCCAGCTGCATCACCATTGATAGTAATGTGGTTCAAGTGATCATCATTCTAAAAGGGATGGTGCGATATCGGCAAGGACAATAGTTGAAGCTGAACGGACTGCTGACTCTGAGTCGTGCCCGAGGGATATCAGCACGAGAACTTTTGTGTTCTTCAAAACATAAGCATAGATACCACATAGACTTCGTATGACAGCATGTATAAATATGAATTGGTTCGGTGACAAGAAGCTCCCTCGAGATGTTCATGTTTTCGCTGTAGGCTTCACGGGGATTTGGACGTGTGCCCTTCCGTGTGTGCAGCACATCTTTTACTTCTCGGAACTCTATGAACATGGGCTCGAGAGCATATACGATCAACGCCATTTGGGAATTTGCTAGCCCTACATGACGTTCTTCACAAAGCAGCCTCAGGACCAGAAATTACAATGTCACCAGTGATAGACTTGATCCTGCCATGGCATCGCCTGAAACTTCTGGCCTTTACTTTTGAGGTCCTTTGCACTTTTGGCGCTTGATTTTGAACTGTCTCGTGAGGCGACCACTTGGGATACTTTTTCTTGTGTCACTGGAAAGAAGAAAATGTTTCTATCCCATATAACCACAAAATGATCTGCAATTCCTTGCATCAACTCCCCCACCATAGCTTAGCGTCTTGTAAGGAAGGACTGCCCGCTGAGAGTGAGCTACAGTCACTTCCGGAGACAAGACCCCGCTGGTTGAGGATAAAGATAACGTGGACTGCCAGCGTCTACTTGAATATATGCTGCTAATGGAGAGTTGTGGCGAAAGTAAAAGTTGAGCAAGATGTGAATGATCATTTGCAGCAGGGGGCTTTTGCTAATTTGTTTGCGACATACGCCCTGGCTCAAATGGCAATATGAAGGATAACAAGCCTCACAAGACATGCAGTCCGCCGGCAGCATGCAACTGTCAACCAGCAAAAGCCACGCAGGTACAGAGTCGGAGTTGCAGTACGATAAGCGGGAAGCAAGGCTCCGCAGCTGCAGGACTATCAGTAGCTCCTGCATCGTCCGGCCAATTGAGAGCCCTGGCGCAACCTGGTTATGGAGTTGTGGCATGCCACCGACGGGGTCGTGCAAGCGAAACGAATCTTGGCGTCCGGGAAAACTACTCAAGGGAGACTGAGTGTTGCTTGGCGACGCGTTTGCATACCACGTATAGAAGGTTTTACATTGAGAGACCTACCAATGCTTGTACTCTGTTGGAACATCGTGATAAGGCGCAATGATGAGCGAGGAGCATCGAAAGGGACGCGGTCAGTCTCATTACTGATGTGTATGCTACACGGACATGTATAGTTGATGCTGGGCACCTCAATTCCCCAGGGTGGCGTTCTACGGTGCCAATGGCTTCGCGGATTACCCGGAGCGCAACTCCACGGCGAACTTGAAGAGCCGGAACTCAGTTGAGAGCAAGCCCAGACAGACCGATCTGCACCCCCGACGACGCAAGTCCCACTTCTAGGGAGCTGGTTCAAGTTGTGTTGAGTCAAGGTGATGGGCCAACTGTTCAACATCAGAATCAATGTATAAATCGAATCTATCCCGCCACAAAACTCTGGACTGTCACGATTCAGCCTACTAATTCTCGATTTGAGTCTTTCTTGCCCCGCGTGTCAAGAGCCTCGTAACCCGAGTCAGCGTACGCCCACCCAGCTTCTACAGTACGCCCACCCAGCTTCCAGCGTTGGCCCACCCAGTACAAAGAAAATTAGCTGCATCCGCACTAAAATGCAAGTACTGCGGGGTTCTTAACAAGCCAGGGTAGCTATTTTCCAATTTAAGCAATACTTTAAAAATACAAGCCTAAAAAAGCCTAAAGCGCCCCAGAGCGCCTAGAGCCCCCAGAGCGCCCAGAGCGCCCCTGAGCCCCCAGAGCGCCCCGAGGGCCCCAGAGCCCCCAGAGCCCCCAGAGCCCCCAGAGAGCCCCCAGAGCCCCCAGAGCCCCCAGAGCCCCCAGAGGGCCCCAGAGCGCCCAGAGGGCCCCAGAGCCCCCAAAGCGCCCAGAGCGCCCAGAGCGCCCCCGAGCCCCCAGAGCGCCCAGAGCCCCCAAAGCGCCCAGAGCGCCCAGAGCGCCCCCGAGCCCCCAGAGCGCCCAGAGCCCCCAGAGCCCCCAGAGGGCCCCAGAGCGCCCAGAGGGCGTAGAGGGCGCAGAGGGCGCAGAGGGCGCAGAGGGCATAGAGGGCGCAGAGGGCGCAGAGGGCGCAGAGGGCGCAGAGGGCGTAGAGGGCAAAAGTAACTTTTAAGTTGCAAATAGAGGGGTAGCTATGGGACCCCTCTGGGGTAGCTATGAAACCCCTCTGGAATAGCTATAGCTATGCTTTATTAATAACCCCGCAGTACCAATATTTTATAGCGTATGCAGCTAATTTCCTTGTACTGGGTGGGCCAACGCTGGAAGCTGGGTGGGCGTACTGTAGAAGCTGGGTGGGCGTACGCTGACTCTCGTAACCCTTGTGTAACCCTCTGGCGCCAATAGGTCTTGTGACCGGTAATTGGAAATAGACTATCTAGGTCATCTGCGAGCTGTAAAGGATTCATGCAGCCTTCAGCTGGCTTCCAGCTGGGTGCGGGCCGCCCGAGCGCGTGCCGATAAGATAAGGATTTTTTGGAGTGACATCAATTACTGAGGCCGTCGAGTCAACCGGCGACACAACCTGCAGCATCCTGTTGACCTTGTGCTTATTTGTTGGATCAATATGGGCGCCTAGCACGACGGGCGATGTCGACTGCTTTGGCTCTGCGCAACACCTGCTCCAGGACACTGCTACGTTGTTATTCGACACTACCGCGCTACTCTCGGTCGCGCAGCAGAGTCGGCGCATCCACCTCACGCAAAGCAACCGTCCCTGCCAGCTTGTTCGGCCCCAAAGTCCGCGTCCTCGACCTGCCCACTGCATATTCTAAGACCCTTGAAACCTCTCGCTTCGGGCGACCTCGCTGGCTGCTGTTATACGGGGCAAAAGGACAGGCGCTGTCGTCCGCGAAACATCGCGACAGTTTGGTCGACACTCCCGGTGCTAACTTCAATCACCCAATGCTTAGCTACGTCCAGATCGTGTCCACGCCCACGGCCGACACGCCGGGGGCGTGCGTCCTGCTCCACTTCGACAATCGGCGGTACTTGTTCGGCCATATCCCCGAGGGCACACAGCGGGTTATGAACCAGCGCAAGGTCGGGGTCAGCAAGCTGGACGAGCTATTCCTCACCGGGCCGGTGACATGGGGGAACATTGGTGGCCTCTTGGGCATGATTCTTACCATCGCTGATGTCGTAGCCCTGCGAGGGGTACCGGATGACAATGCGAAGAAACAGAAGAAGAAGAAAGACCAAGGGCTGTCGGTCATCCCGAGCCTGAAAATACACGCTGCCGAAAACATCATGCAGGTCCTCGCCACCGCCCGAAGATTCATTTTCCGAAAAGGTCTGCCGCTGGAGCTTGACGAGATACGCCACCAACCGGCACAAGAAAAAGCAGGGCAGAGAGCCCCGGATTTCGAGGACGCCAATGTCAGGGTCTGGTCTGTGTCGGTGAAGCCAGAAGGGGAGCCTAAGTCTCAGGGCCGTAAGAGAAGCCATGACGATATGCTCGCAGACGACAAGGGCGAATCGAGGGGGAATAAACTCGACGACCAGCAGGTGGAGGCCAACCGCCAGATCGTCAAGTCTGTTGTCGACCACATGTTCGACTCAAACTGGGAGCTTGACGCCCTCGTGGAGACGACATTGCACAAAGCCAAGCTGCCGGCCAAAATATTCGTCAAGGGTCCAGACGGCAAGATCACGAAATACGATGGGCCCATGCCGGGAGATCCTGGCCCCGTTCCAGATATACCGGTGTTCACGCGTACTCCATGGCCCGCAACAAAGATAACACAACTGCCTCCAACATCACCTTCGAAACAGTCCTTGTCCTATGTTGTCCTTCAGCAACCACGAAGAGGCAAGTTCAAAGTGCAGGAAGCTCTCAGGCTCGGAGTGGCCAAGCCTGACTTCAAGAGGCTTACCGCCGGCGAGACGGTCAAGGGCGCGGATGGAGTAGATGTGACTCCAGAGATGTGTGTCGAGGACACGATCGAAGGCCGTGGCTTTGCCGTGATTGACCTCCCTGACCTGTCCTATGTAGAGCCATTCTTGGCCCGGCCAGAGTGGACCACAGAGTCGCTCGTGAAGAACATCGATGTCATATACTGGATACTGGGGCCCAACGTCGCCCAAGACCAACGGATCCAAGACTACATGAATTCTCATCAGCCAGTCAGGCACAATGTCTTCTCACCAGACGCCAGTCCTAATTACATCGCCATGGATGGTGCAGCGGGCAATACGATCAAGTCTCACCAGATAGACCCTGATAGATTTCGCCTGCCCGTCTACAGCAACAAGAGCGAGGGTGAAAAGGCAGAAGTCTTTGTGGCACCAAGCCCAGGTGCTAAGGTACAACTGGCACCTCGCGTAATATTCCAGGACGAAGAATCATGGCCCCTTATGGATACACTAAGTCCAGCTAGGGGTATGGACAAGCAGGTCCAAAAGCTGGCAGATAAAGCGAGGGCGACGCTCTCCAACCCTCGTTTCCTCGAAGAAATCGAGGAGTCCGAGCAGGACATTCCAAACCGTGACGCCGAGATCATCCCGCTCGGTACAGGGTCAGCACTCCCGTCCAAGTATCGCAACGTCTCCGCTACCATGATCCGAGTGCCCGGCTATGGCACTTACCTCTTCGACTGTGGTGAAAACACCCTCGGCCAGCTTCGCCGCATGTACGGCTATGACGGCGCAAACGAGATCCTCCGCGACCTCAAGGTGATTTGGATCAGCCACCTGCACGCGGACCACCATCTCGGCACGGCCAGTCTGATCAAGGCCTGGAAGGACGCCACTGCATCCGACCGGAGCCGCTTGGCTGTTGCGTCCCACGTGAACATGATCGACTGGCTGCGCGAGTACGCCGACATCGAGGACTACGGTTTCGACCGCCTCCGACTGATCGAGATCAAGGGCGCCGGCAAGGGGAAGCAGAACCCCTTCGTCTGCAACCCGACGCTCGCGCGCGAGCTGGGCATCACGCAGATCGACGCCACGCGCGTCGAACACTGCTACGGCGCGCTGGCTTGTGTGTTCACGTGGCCGTCGGGCCTGAGGATTGCGTACAGCGGCGACTGCCGGCCGTCGTCCACTTTTGCCGAGATCGGCAGGGACTGCACGTTGCTGATCCACGAGTCGACGCTGGACGACGAGCTGAGGGACGACGCGTTGGCCAAGAAGCACTGCACCATGAGCGAGGCGCTTGGCGTGGCGAGGGAGATGAGGGCCAGGAGGGTGCTGTTGACACATTTCTCGCAGAGGTACCCCAAAATTGCGAACACATCTACCGGAGGCGGCGGCGCTCCGGTGAAGGACCAGGTTGTCCTCGTGGCCTTCGACCAGATGTGCGTCAGGCTGGGGGATTTCAAGAAGGCCAGGCTTTTCCTGCCCGCACTGAGGAAGCTGTACGAGGAGGCTCCGGACGACGAGCCCCCAAGGCTCGACTAGGTCGAAATTCGTGCTGGGGGCTCATCTTGCATAAGAGAGTAGGTGGATACCGCTGATCCTACGTATCGATAGAGATAGAAACAAAATAGAAATGCTAGACTTCATAAGTTAAGAAAACTCCGATAAGAGATGCCACAAATCCACTTGTACCTGCATCTATGCCGTAGGTATTATTTCTTGTATATGCAATTTCAGGACTTGGGATTGAGATCTAATAATACAGTCGAGATACAACTCACGTTCATGATTTAGACCAAGGGAAGAACCTTAAGGGAAGAAGAACCTTAGATATACCACCAGAATGTAACGTAGGGCTGGAATTGAAAATTAAAGTAGATTTTATTTTTTTTATTTTTTCATGCGAAGGACAAAGTGAAAAACTGGTAGTGAGAGGCAGGGTAATCAAACAAAGGAAATAAGCGGGCGAGGGCCACAAGGACAACGGGGAACCAGACATCAACTCACCCCAGCTGCTCACAGCCACGACGAATCTGGCATGTACATGTTCGAAAATTGGCCGCCGCCGCGTCCCGCGCATAACCTCCGCTCCGCATCACGCCGGGCCGTCTCGCGGCTGTTGGCGATCGCGGTCCGGATGTCGTCGTCGTCGTCGTCGTCCCCGTCAGAATCATCGTCAGAACCATCCTGCCGCTGCTCCTCGAGGTCACACTCCTGTATCCGCCGGGCCAGCGCCTCGTCGGCGTCGATTTGTTCTTGGCGGTGGTGGTCGGAGTGGTACACCCCCGCGACCGCCGAGACGCTGTCGTCGGGGGTGAGGGAAGCGGTCGGGAGGCTGAAGCCGGGCGAGCCGTCGAGCTGGTCGAGGCCGGCCTGGAATTCCCGGCTCGACCGCGCCATGTGCTGCTCGCTGCTGGCGCCGGGGCCCGGCCAGGCGGTAACAGTCGATCCCACGACAGTGTTAGGCTGGAGCCATCGTCGACTGCCGGTCCTGCTTGGTGGGGGGTAATGTGCTGTTGCCCTCGGCGGCCTGGTATTCGCGCGGCTAGCAGGCTGGCGACTAGATCCTTCAACGGCGGTGGTGGACGCAGCAGGAGGCGGGTGGACAGCTGTCGGAGCGTTGTTCGAATAGACGCTGGAGGGAATCGTGCGGGAGGGACATTGGCCCTGCGAAGAGAGCTGTGGCATCGGTGGTGCCGCCTCAGCACCGGCCCGCGTACCTCGCCTGGACTTGTGAGTTGATTGCGTAGCTAGCGTGTGAACGCTGGCGTCGGTCCACTCGCTCACCTGTGTTCTCGCGGGTCCAGCAGCTGGGACAAACTCGTCGTCGTCGTCGTCGTCCCCCTCGCGCGGGGTGACGTTTTTGGAGAAATGGAGCGGATTCGGAAGAGCTGACACGGCCATCTGACTCCTCGCCCAGCTGTTCTCGATACCGGCCGCGTTTTGGCGGAAGGCAGGGTGCTGGCTGCCGACGGTGCTGGCCCCTGACGGCCCTGCGATCTCGGTGAAGGCGTCGTACCATCCTTGGAGCCGGTCCTGCTGCTTATAGGCGGCAGCAGCGTCCGTCTCGTCGAATTCGTCACGGTAGTCCTCGAGTTGCTCGGCGTCGTCCGCATCGTCCTGCTGATGCATGTTCGAGTTATCATCGACTGGCATGGAGCGGTCATTACGGGTGCCCTTGGCCCTGGTGGTGGCCGCCGAGGCGTTGGAAGCTGACGACGCCGTGAATGTGGACGCCGAGACAGTGGATGATGAGTGCTTACCTTGGTGACCGCTGGGCTTCCTCGACTCCTTGCCGAACATCTCATCCAGCTTCTTGTCAATCTCTCCGCGCGCCGCTCTCACCTGGCTGGCCGACAGGCGCTGCTCGTCAAGGTCACGCTCCAGACGGGCGAGCTCCTTCATTCTCTTCTCATACGGGGTGCGGTGGCGGCGCTGGCCGCCCTTGCGGCCCAGGAGCCTTCTCCTTATGTGGCGCACATCCCTCGCCATCCTCGTGCTCTCCGCCCAGAGCCTGTCTGCGTTCTCCTCACCAAACCGCTCGATCCATGCCTCCACGAGCGGGATAAGAACCGGGGGGCGGCGCCTGTGGGACCGGCCGTTCATCATGGCTCGCAAGTCACACAGGGCCTGGCCCGAAGCGCCGATGCAGCTGCAGATGCAAGCCTCGCAGTCGTTCTCGACGCGCTGCATTGCCAACCCGGGAGGGTAGTTGTCGCCCACGATCCTGAAGAACACATCCGGTCCGGTCCAGAGGGACAGCATGCTGTTCATCCGGTCTACGTAGTCCTGCACCTCACCCAGGGATGTCTTGAGCTTCATGGCATGCTTGGTAGGGTTCTCGAGGAACTTCCTCACCGGGTCGAGGCGGTGCGTCACCTCCTCCGAGATTAGCAAGAACACCCTGTGCACTATCCACGGGTTCAGACCTTTGTGGGCGGCACAGAGCACAGCGCACTGCGGGACGAGATCCTCGATGGTCAGGTTCAGTTTCTTGTTGGTATAGATGGACAGCCTTGCCAGCCAGTCTTGGGGACGCTGAAGAGTCTTGGGTAATTGGGAAATCTTCTCGGCTTGACGGGCGAGCCATTGGTCTGAAGGAAGGCCATCTGTATAACGTCGGGCTGTGGGCGGAAGGCAGAGAAGCCGCACGAAGAGACTAATATCCTCGTGGGTCATGTGGGAGATATGGCGATACCGCTTGACCATACTGGCAGGTTCTGGTCGGTATAGCTCGTGATGCTGTCTGAAGTCAGATCGACTGGTTTCTTCTCCGTTCTATCCTCCAGGGAGTTCGACTTCGAAGGACACAAAATAGTACAATTACTGTGAATGTACGACTAACTCGCTTTGGGGTTCAGCGGAAGCACTGGAATCTCTGGTCAGGAGCCAAAGCTTTTCGATTTTATAGTATATGACTTTCGAAGTCTTTTGATCCTGCTTTTCAGGACATCAGCTGCAGCAACCAGTCTTTTAACTCCGACACTGGCTTTAACCACTGCACCCATAGCGGCAGGCCCGTCCCCAGGGTAAAGACAAGGGGAACTGTTACCCTTTGAGTCTTCTCTTTGATACACTCCGCGTTTCCTTGGTGAGCACCATCTGTGTCAACCATGCCCTTTGTTGTTGCGGGACTGCCGTGCTCTCAGGACAAGAGCATTGTCCCGTCAGCCCCATGTTGGGCCTGCTTGACATTTCATGTCTTTGTTATGTTATACGCTGTGCCATGTGGCAGGGTTCAATTCTCGAGTACCGAATCGATCCTGCTAAAATTGTCTGTGATGGTCCTGAAGGTCAAGTCACAGTTTTCGAGTCAAGCGAGTTCGGAAAGGAGGCATTCGTGATGCGCCGCTAACGGATACGTCGGTGTGCCACGGGGAGATCGGACAGGCTGTGTGGGTGTCAAGACATCGCTGAATCCATTTCAAACGTGGTCGTGCCGAGTTTTTGATTTGACCGTGATACGATCGATGACCCTGACATTTGCTCCATGCAACTCGTCGTTTCCGTTCCCGTCCCAATCCCACCAAAATAGACACAGAATGAGAAAAGAATACCAGGCCTGATGTGTCCAACAGGTCCAAGACGAACTCCTCAACGCGCACATGCCAGCCGTCCGCCTGTCTCCATGTCCCTATTATAGTCTGGGACACCCAGAATGAGTAAGAGTACTAGAGCAATGAATACCTCGTCCTATCAACCATGCACGCTGCGAGCTGATGACAGCCCCTGGCTAGCCCGCAACCGTTCCATTTTAATCTTGGCAGCTTCAGTGCCGTCGTCAGGGTGGGCTGTCTCCTTGAACCAAGGATGTTGCAAGGCCTGCTTGGCTGTGATGCGATGAGCGGGGTCGTAAACGAAGATTTTCTTCAGAAGATCCCTGAAATTTTTCAAGAAAGGGGTGTTGTTGGGAATGATATCCTGCAGAGATGTCAGCGGCATGCGCAAACTTGGATTGCTCGAATTTGACTCACGTCCAACTTCTTCATGGCTTTGACAAACCGACGCGACGCCCTAGTCGTTTCGGCTATTGGGTAGTCCAGTCGACCCCTCTTGAAGTATCTGTGTGATGTTAGAAACTACTCGGTTTTTTATGAACCAGAACAACGGGTCTGCGCGATCGAGAAAAGGGGCGAGCCGGGCTCTTGGGGGAGAGACATACTTGGAGGCCGGGTTGCCACCATTTCTGGTCATCTTGTTGACTTGCGTGACCAGATGGCTGTCGATTCGTGAGCCCACAACATTCTCCATCATGGCCAGGTGTTCTAGATTCTCATGAGTCTGGAACAAGGCGTCGCCGGTAAAGAACTCGACAAGGATGCATCCGATACTCCAGATATCGCATGGGAATGACCATCCGAGCCCGAGGATGATTTCAGGTGCTCGGTAGTGCCGAGTCGACACTACTGAGGAGTGGTATTCGTCCTGGAAAGTAGCAGATCCAAAGTCGATCAAACGAATCTCCGCGTCCAAAAGAACCCGTCGCTGGGTGGCATTGCGACTAACTTGAACCGACGAGGACGGAATCTTTCTGTTGTAGGTGAACGTTTGATAAGCACTGTCATAGAGCAAGATATTCTCGGGCTTTAGATCAGTGTGGATCAAATTTAGGTCGTGTAAAACTGTATCCGGTTAGAAAGGCCCTTCAACGCGGCGAACAGGGAACTCACAAGCGACACTGGTAAGTAGCTGTCTCGCAAAACTTTGGATCTGGCTGTTCGGGAAAGGGACGAACTGATTGCCTTTGAGGAAATCGAACACACTCTGTCCCAGCAGTTCCATGACGACGCAGATGTGGCCCCGGTAGTCGAAGCAGTCGCGGAGATGAATGCACCGATTGCGATTTTCGGCGTCGTTCGCCTTGAGCGTCGCTAGAACCCTGAGCTCTATCCTTGAGGCATCCCTGTACTTTTGCACGGAACGAATAATTTTGATGGCAACGAGTTCATTTCGCCTTCGGTCACGAGCTTGGACCACTTTGCCGAATGTTCCTTGGCCGAGCATCTTGATCATTTGGTCTGGAGAAAGTCAGTGACTGTGCCCCTCTGTCAAAGCATAGAAGAGGAAGGGCAGCTCACAGTTATCCGTGAGTTCCGCATCTGGAACAACAATGTAATGACCATCACTGTCGTCAACGGTGCCACTCTTGTACGACTGTAGGATTGCGGGTCAGCAAGGACATGTATACAAACAAATGGGACAGGGTTTTCTCACGTCTGGGATCACGCGGACGTGAACATCAGCAGCCTTCTTGGGCGGCTGTGGGGGAGGATGGTAACTCGGATAGGCGTGCCCAATGATGGCATTTTCCCTACGCTTGACCTCGTTGGCGACCTGCTGTCGAGTCCGCTTCCGCTTATTGCCGGGCTGGACGTCATGGTCGTATTGGCTGTTCGAGGATAATGAGCCGAGCGATGTTGCAGCAGTGGTGTGAATGGCCGAGTTGGTCCTGTCACTAGATGAGATGGTTGAGGCAGAAGGTGTCGCCCCGTTCTGGTGGGGGGTCGTGGTTGAGCCGTTCAGACGGCTGTGATGGACTGGATCGTACCGGGTACCCGAGCCGGTGGGTGCGTCGTCGTCTCGTTTCCGCCTCTTAGGGGCGTGCCGAGCGGCAGATGTGTTGGCAGCGACGGGACCGCCGTTGACGCCATTGGCGTAGTTGTATGTGGCACTGCCGTTGGTCAGGGTCTGCGAGGCCGGGACGGCAGAAACGGCCGCACCATCGGGACCGGGAGAGTCGTCAATGACGATGATCTCCTTTGGGGGCTGGCCACCGTAGAACTTGTTCCAATCGACGGGGCTGTGTCGTCTCCTCTTTCGCGAGTCCGGCGAGCCGTTGGCGGGCCGTGCCTTGGAGGCGGGCATGGTGGTGTAATTGTTGTGCTCGAGGATGGCAGGTAGTTCCAGGTCTTGTCGGTGTGATCGGGCTAGAGAAGAGCCACTGGAGAAAGACGACCCATTCGCGGTAGACGAGGACGTCTGCGTGGTCGTGGAGGGGGCGTAACTCGAGGTGGAGGTGGAATATGAGGGAGCGACGCGGCTCGTCGGGGGCAGGAGTTGGTTCGCCGCGGAGCGGTACGAGGTCGACGAGTTGGCGGAATAGTATGGGAAGTGATGATGGGGATTGTGATAATGAGAATGGGGTGGCAAAGTAGCAGTAGCAGTAGTCGGCGTCGACATGATTCTGACTGCTGCTATTGCCCTGTTGCTCTGTGCAGCAGCAGAGGACGACGACTAGACGAGGTGCCGTGGGATTTGGGACTCCAGGATGGAGGAGGACAGCCGGTGCTGGCGGCGTAATCGACTAGCGGCTCTCCCTGTGGAAGGTTGTTGTTGCGGGCGCCTTGGGGTGAGTGGGTGGGTGCACAGGGCAGGGCAGGGCAGGAAACTGCAGCAACCGCGCCCAGGGCAGGCCAAAGTGCAGAGGGGACGAATGGGGACGGGAACAGGGCCAGTGACGCTTTTCTTCTCTCGCAGGAAAATCGGCAGTGGCTGGTCCAGACTCCAGAACAGGAGCAGGTTTGGAAAAAGGGACCGACTGGTGATTGACAGACGTCAAAGCCGAGGGCCAAACCAAAACAGAGTCGAAGCCAGAGCCAGAGACGAAAACCGTGGAGCCAGAGTTCAAGGTAATGCAGTCAGCCCAAGGCAGGTCGAGATCGGGTCGAGGCAGGTCAGGCTACTGTCAAGGCGGTTCGCGAGCTGGGAGGGCTCTGTTTGCCGGCTGGCACAAGCGGGTGGACTTTGGGTTCGGACCTGGGTTTAGCAGCCCAGGTGTCGGGGGACAAGTCGAGTCGCTGGAGAACCTCGGGACGATGTGTTTGTCCTGGTGACATCGATCTTATGGAACGGCAAACGATGCGCGATGTCCAGGTGGGCTTGTCGGGGGTATCGGCCGTGTTCGCATGGAGCAGGAGTAGGAACAGGGTGAAAAGAGCAGACGGAGAAAGAGGGTCGAGTTGTGAGATCCAAAGCAAGACCAGACAGCAAGACAGGACAGGACAGGGCAGGGCAAGTCGAGTCGAGGTCAGGCCAGGTCAGATCGAGTGAAGTAATCGAATGAGGGCGGGAGTGGGAGTATGAGTGGTGAAAGGGTATTGGTGGTATTGGTTCTGGGTGCGGTAGCGGCAGCGGCAGCAGCAGTGGTGGTGCTTGCGGTAAGTGTGAGTGTGCTAAGTGTGGTGGTGGTGAGGTCAGGGTCCATCCAGTCCAACCAGGCCAAGCAACGAGACGTAACGCAACGCACCCTTGGTCCTGGGGCCCGGAATCACTCGCTGCAAATGCCAGCTGCAGTTGCCAATGCACAGGGCTTTCCCCTCTGGGCCGTCCTGTCTGTCTCTCGGCAAAGGCAATAACACCAAGTGCGGCCGCGGGTGATTAATGATGAGGAGACGATCGTCCGGTCCCAAGATCAGTCATGCAACGGCGTGCAGCGAGGTCCCAGGCGTGAATTTGTGCGGGACAGGTACAAGTGGGTGCGCCGTGCTTGATGGGGCGCGTGGGTGGGATGGATGAATGGCTGGATGGCTGAAATGGGTGGGCGGATGGGGAATAATTGTCTGAGTGACTGCGTATTAGACTACCATTGACTGAGCAGTGCCGGTGATGAGCAGAACGCATAGAACCCGACGGCGACAGCCACCACTAGCAGACAACCTTGGAAGCCCGAGAGGGCGAGTTCTACAGTACACAGCGCAGTACCTACCTGTGGAAAGAAACCCTACTGTGCTGTACTGGGCTTAGGAGTCCTCCAACTGGGCATCCTGACCTTCCACTGTCTCTTGGTAACTTTTTGGGGGCTTGGAGCTGCAGCTCGAGGCACAATGAGGTCAGTCTAGGGTGGGCCAGGCCCAGGCCACTTCCGGAAACTCTGAGCGACGCGCTGTAACGAGTTAAGAGACAGACCTTTCAGGGCTGGCTTAGGTCAACCGCCAGTGCAGCAGTTGCCGTGTTGACGGACAGACTGCAGGTGGTGGACACGCCCCCAACGGGCATGTGGGCCAGCTCGTCGCTGGTCCCCAGCTTTATGTGATGATCAATCCGCCTTGAATCTTAGATCTTCGTAATCCGTAGACTACTTCTATCTACTGAATTACAGTAAATACCCACGTAGATGCATTCCGACCAAAAGACTCTTGGTCGTGTTGCAGTCAGTCAAGGGCCCAGGGGGCCAAGACGACAGGGACTTGGGAAATGGGACCCGAGTCCCAAGCTTCCCTCAAGTCGACCACTCAGCCTTCTCGGGCCCAGTCAATGTTGCCACCCGTAAACCCAGTCTCCCTCGCTCCCACTTGCTCCCTTTCAGCCATCCCACTCACACGCTCGCCGCTGGTTCGCCATCCACCACGTCGGGCATTGAGGGGCAGACACTGCCTAGCAACCTAGCCATGTCATGAATCAACGCACTTGCTGAAAGCAACGTCGCCTGGGCTGAGCAGACGTAACGCACAATGCCCGTACACGTACACGTCCCGTCCTCGTGTCAGATTGACCATGCCCCCAGAACCATCGCCTGGAGACCTCAGACCGTGACTGAGGCGCATAGGCCAGGAGGCATCTTGGACCCAGGCCTGCCTCAGAGTGGTCTTAAACACGCATGCATCATTGGCCTCCTCGTCTAAAACTTGCGGCCTCCCAGTGGCCTGACTTTGGGCTCCGCTGTGAGCACGGGAACAGTCACTCACAAAGAGAGAGAGACGCGTCCGAATCCGATCCCTCGCCCAGTCAGTGCCAGTGCCAGCGCCTCTGGCAATTAGCAATTAAAGGAACACCAGTGTTTGGGCACTCCCTCCGTTCCGCGCCTGAGCGAGAGGCGAGAGACCGTTAGGGAGCACAGTGTGCAGATGCAGATGCCCCAGCCAGATCCAAGTGCTGAGGGGTGGGCCGCCTCGAGATCGCTGCGAGAAGCTGCTCCCGCCCTCCACGTCGCACAGACCCAGAGACAGTATTCTCCCCACAATCGTCACGGTCCATTCCATCTCGACATTCACGCCGGGGGGTTCAGCTCCCCGGTGACGCCCCGACGCCCCGCCTTCCGAATCACTGTCCTGTGAAGTTTAAATTACCTAGGGACCCCATCGTCGAGGCTATCTTGTCGAGACAACGTCGAATCTCTGCAGAGTGATTGCCCTGACATCATCTCCCATGCTTCGTGACCGGAATGACCACCCAGCCTGCGAAGCACGGCAGAGTGTGACCCCGTCCTGCCGTGGTGGACTGACTTTTGACTTAACTTGACTTGAATGATTGACCGACTGACAGACTGATTGAACCAACGGCTGGCTCTCACTCTTCACACCCATCGAGGGAACGTGCTACCACCCTGCCCCTCTTCTGTGGAATGCTTTCGCCTAGAAACCGCCGAGGCCACCTGCTGGGCTGTGGTGCTCCGTGCTAGCTATGCCTTGCCTCGCTTGGCTGCAAGCTGCGGTGATCTCACTCAGGCAGTCAGGGTACCCTCCCCAGTGCGTTGGCGTGCCGTCCTGCCCTGGCATCTCGCTAACTTGGCCAGCTCCAAGTCCACAATACTGCTCAGCAGCGCTCAGCTGGCTACTGCAACCAAGGGTGCAGCGTTTAGATCCCTGCAGCTTTCTCGGATAACTGGCAACAACAACAACAATAGTTTCCTTTGGGCACAGGGACACATGAGTACAGCAGCACAGCTTCTCGTTCCCAGGACCCAACACCAGCCAGGCCCACTTGCTGGCATCTGCTGGCACGGGTACGCAGGGGACTCGACTTTCTTTGTTTCTCAAACAAGCACAACATGACATTGATGCCTATGCGAGGGCTTGTCTGGGAGTATGGCTCTTGTGGGTGGTCTGCAAGAGCCGTCGACCATTGCTGCAGGTCTGCAGTCGGACCCTTGTCTGTGTGCCCCCTGGGCCGAATTCATAACTTTACTTTTACTGTGTGTATTTCGAGACTCGGGCTTGATAAGCCGCCGTAATGATCACAGCCCTCGAGTCAGCCTCTAGACCTTGTTTCGGGCCCAGCTTTACGAAATTCCGCGACCCCGAGGAGGAGCAGGAGACTTCAGACCTAACGCAGGGTGAGTGTGCTAGTATGTAGACGAGCATGTACGTGTGTGTGCCTGGCTGGCTCTCCGTACCAACCCGCGCACGTCTTTGTGTGACTTATTCAGTAGCCCCGTGCCTGACTTCAGCAAAGTTCACAAGATCTCCGCCTGCTCACAATGCCCGGGGAGGGGGTGCAACCGGAGCCTGTTTCCCCTCCCAGGCTGGGCCAAACCTGGAAGGCGAAGGTGGCCCCGCTCATCCTGTCATCCCACGGATTAGGCCAACAAGGGATCGCCAACGTTGCCGCCAATGTGGGTTGGGTTTTTGCGGCGACTCTCTTTTTTTTTCTCCCTCTGTCCCTCGGGCTGGCTTGAAATCCCCACTCTTTGACGAGATGTGACGGCAAGCATTTGTTTGGCTCTGTTCCCGTCCCCAAGGAAGGAGGGGCTCACTCGCAGGAAAAGCCGGATTTCCGTTGATTGAGGGATCGTTTTAGCCCTGGGAGGCGCGCCCTTCAATTCCCGTGGCCCAATGGCTCGCTGGTCTTGTCGCTGTCTCTCTCCCAGCGCGGGCTTATTGCAACGGCTCCTGCGGTCTCCTCCTGGTTTTAGCCCATGTGCTTCACTGGCCTGTAATTTACTATAATAACAGCACCCGGCCTGGGCAGCTGGGGCCCTTTCGGGCGTGGCGGGTCGAGCCTTCGAGTGAACAAATCCCGGCAGGGCACTTCATGGCCAGCAGATGCGACGCACGTAATCATGAGCAGTTGGCGGTATCCCGTCCGCAGCGACCGCCCACCGAGGACACTATTAATATTCCACTGCCGCCTGGTCAACGTGGGTCGCCCATTCTCACCCACGCTCGCGTCGAGCCAAGTGTCAAGCATGACGAGGCTGCGCCGCGGCCTCCGCCTGCAGCATGCAGGTTCTCCACGTTTGACGGCGACCCGCTCAGCCTCGCGGCCTCTGGGTGGCAGAGAAAGGACTCGGCCGCACTCTGCGAACGAGTGTGAAGAGTCCACTGTGCCCGTCCTTCTAACGGGGCGCTGTGGCAAGAGGCGATCGAAACATTCACGTCCCACCAAAGTGTTTCCATCTCAAAAAGGGACGACCCAGTTGAAACGTCGCTGATGGACCAAGATGCGCGTTCCCCAACGGGCCGGTTTTCACAGTGCCCCTTTCTCAGCCGCTCAGCTTCACAGGTCGGCATCTCGCTCTCAAAGAAATGCCAAAATAACGACAGAAAGCTTGGGAAGAAGTATGCTTAATAGCTTAGAACGGTTGATTTCATTCCCGTCTATCTTGTCACCGACCCGGCCTCTCAATTGTCTGGCTTAACTTAGGAGAGACGGCTGTGAAACAGCACCCGAAGCCGGGCTGTTGGCAGGGCGAATCCTTAACTGTAGCACATCATTCTCACCACGACCTGATCACGTTTTACTTGTTGCAGCGGGAAACCTGGACTTGTAGAATGAACTTAAAATGGATCAGTGCTCATGATCTGCAAAACCCCGTGCCATCTCGGTTTCTGAGGCAGGCGACTAACGTTCCGTGAGACCATACGGACCACGGCAACTCGCCTTGGGCCTCCGGGGTAGCAGTCCCGCCGAGTGTACGGCCGAGGAGGCCGATCGCCGCTAGTCTGGTCTACGCAGGTACAGTTCTTGCGGCTTTCAGATGCCCCGGTTGAACACCACTAACCCGCCGTCTCCTCCGTGCCCGTGGAACTCCTCCTCGAGGCTATCCGCCCGCACCCTCTGCCGCTGCGGGAACGCCGCCAGCGCGAGCGGCAACACCGCGTAACTCGTCACCAGGATCAGGCCCAGGTTGACCGGCGTGGTCAGCCTGGGGTTCTTCTTCAGCCACTCTGTCTTTTGCAGCCTGACCAGTATCAATGGCGGGATCACCATGACCGGGCTGCTGTTCAGCACCCGGGACAGGGCCGTCTCGGCGACCGCGAGCTGCGCGGCCTTCTTGCTCTTGCCCAGGCTCTGGACTTCGTTCTCGGCCTTGCCCTCCTTGGCCAGGCGCTGCTTCTCCTGCTCAGACAGCACGGGGTATACGTCGATGCCGGTGCGCATCTCCTCACCGCGCATGAGAAACACATTGAGAGCTCCTGCCGACGCGACTGCAGCGAAAGGCACGAGCCGAGACAGGATCAGGCGGGTGTTTGGTGGCAGATTTGAAAGGCGTGGAACGAGGGAGTTCAGGCCCACTGCAACGGAGCAGGATGCGCCGACGGCAAGGAAGTATGACTGGGCAATTTGGGAATACGACAGTGGCGTGGACTTGTTTGCGTTGGCGTTGTTGATAGCCACGTTCATGGACTGGTTGGCTATCTGCCACAGGACAGTGCCCGTATTCCCGAGACCCGGAGTCAGCATGCCCGCCGTCACCACCAGGTTGGAGAGGACGTAGCTGGACATGCGGAATGGCAGGAAGACCGGGTTTCCGGTGTCTGTGAATGATCGTATGTCAGCCTATGGTGCCGTTGTCACCAGCTGCGAACAGGGAGCCTCGTACCAGGATGTAGAGTGGAATCGACAATCTTCTTGGCCTGCCATAGCTCTGGTGTCATCTCTTGCACCTGGCCCGTCTTATAAGTTCCCAAGGCCTTCTTCGCCTGCTCGAGTCCCGTCTTGCCCACTAGCAATGTCCTGTCGGCGGCCATCTGTCAGTCAAATAGCCTGCAAGACGAGACCAAATGGCCGTGTCGTCTCCCTCGCCCGCCAGGCAAAGACACCGACAGAGAAGAAACCAATGGCTGCTTACTGCTCCTGCAGAGACGCATTCCTCCCTGGCCCGTCTTCACGCCTTCGCCAGAGCCTGCGCCCCAGAGCATTTATATTCTCTCACCTCGGATCGGTTATGCCAGCAGTTTGCCTGACACGGCCCCAGTACGTGCTGAGGTCATACTGCGACTCGGGCAGCTCGCGGTTGCCTGGTATGGAGGCCGACATGTTGGCGTGGGTGCTAGAAGCAGCTTTGGTTTTCTTTTTCCTCCTCTCTTCTGCTTCGGGACGGCCGCAATGACGGGGCTCTCTCGTTCTGGGAAATGGCAGAAGAGAACAGAGGCGGCGAGTAGAGTGTGACGGACTCGATCAGCTGCGTCAATTGAGACACAGACACCGCTTGAGGTTGTGATCAGACGGTGCTCGCGTCAAGTTGCACAACCTATGGAATGTGTCGGCGGTGTGAGGCTTGATCGAGCCGTCGCAAACCGGTCGTCGCACCGGGCTGGTGGTGGGTTTCAATCGTGGATCTTGTGTCGCGTTCTTATCGCCGAGCTCGGCCCCATCACCCGGAGGGCCCTGCCATTGTTACCCGGCGCGGGGCCCACCACGCAGCAGCTGGCCGAAACAGGCAGGGGAATGACAGGTGAGGTGAGGAGGTTAGCTGCCCAGGTGCTTGAGTAAGTCGCCATGTCATGAACCCAACTCGGCGTGTTGTTCCTAGCGTACCTCGACTAGGTAGCCCAACCTGAGGCTACCTCTCTGTTTGTCCACAGTACGGTAGCGGCACAGCTGGTAAACAGCCGTTTTCCGGCACAGCTGGTAAACAGCCGTTTTCCCACATTGCATCTTACGTCTTCAGCAGCATAGCTTTCGCATCAGGCTTTGGTACTCTAATGTCGTCCACCCAATCCATCGAATTGAGTCGTTAGGCTCCTTTACATATTCAGGCCTCACTGCTTCTTCGAGCTCTGTGTAGCTCTCCTTCGTCATAGTTTGCGCACATGTGAAACTGCCCGTGCATACCAGATCAGGAGCTCTCTCCCTGCCTCACCTCACGCGCATCTGGGTAGCTCGGACAACAGCTGCAAACAGTGCCCACATTCTGCTTCACGTCGCAAGAGTCTCGGCCAGCCATGGCGCGAAACATTCTGATCCGGCATCTGCCCATTGCACAGTCCACGACGACTTTCCAAGCTATCAGCTACCTGCTTGGTGTCGCGCTCTTCTCCATCTCTTTCCTTGTCTTCCTCAACAGCAGCATTTCTTTTGTCCTCACTGACCTGCTTCATATCGAGGATGGCGTCGGCGATATCGTTGGCACTCTGGGCTTTGTCGATGAGATCGTGGCCCTGATTGCATGCCCCGCCTGGGGCCTGATATCCGACCGTTTGGGTGTTCGATTCGTTGCCATGGTCGGGTATGCCATCATTGGCCTCGCCCTGTTTCTGTTTGTACAGGCATCAAATGTCTACCCTCAGCTCCTCCTGGCGAGGATCTTCTTCGCCCTTGGGGCTACTGCTACGTAAGTACAGACCACCATCACTTGGAACCGCTGAAGCATGGAGCTGACGAGACACTTGCTTTATACAGAGCCACCATGGTGACGGCAACCCTCCCCTGTCTCACAGACGACACCGATTCCTCCCAGCAGGACGAGAACGAGACGGGATCAGGCCATCCCTTCCTCGCCCCAACCCACAACAACCGCGACAGTGTCACCCTCTCTGTCGAGTCCGACCTCACCATCACGCCCGAGCGCTACACACGGCCCGGCTCCAACGGAGATGCCTCCAATGAGCCGCATTGCACTGTCGACCCGGCGCAGGGCAAGCCATCTATCCTCGCGGGCTACGTCGGACTCTTCACTGGTCTCGGCGCGCTGGTTTCCCTCCTGGCTTTCTTGCCCCTCCCTGCCCAGTTCAGCAAGATCGAGGGCGTCGAGATGGGTGAGGCTGTGCAGTATGCCTATTATGTTGTCGGAGCAGTTGCCATCCTCGTGGCCTCATTCGTGTACATCGGACTGCGGAAGCTCAAGGGTGAGGAGGGCAAGGGTTTCCGTACGCTCTTCGGACTGAAGAAGAGGCAACTACCCGACGGATCCGAGCCCCCGCGACGCACGTTTCTGCCTTACCGACAGCTACTTCGCGAGGCTGTCGTGCTTGGCTTCACGGACTCTCAGATCGGCTTGGGCTACCTGGGTGGCTTCGTGGCCCGCGCGTCGACAGTTGCCATCTCCGCCTTCGTTCCTTTGTTCGTCAACTCATTTTACAAGGACCTCCCCGGTGGCGACACGCCGGAGTTCCAGAGGAAGGCGTACATATTGGCTTCCATCCTCACCGGAGTCGCGCAGCTGTTTGCACTCGTCTTCGCTCCCGTCTTTGGTTATGTATCGAGCCGCAGTCGTCGCATCAACTACCCAATCGCTGTTGCAACCGTCTTCGGTGTCATTGGCTACGCCGTTTTCCCCAACCTTTCGACCCCAGAAGTTTCGAATGTTGAGGGTCGAGGCGGGTCTGGAGGCATTTTCGTCATTGTTGCTCTGATAGGTATCAGCCAGATCGGCGCCATCGTCTGCAGCCTGGGCACCCTGGGCAAAGGCGTGCTGGCTGCAGATCCCCACAAGAAGGGAACTCTGCGTTTGCCGGTAGGAGATGCCTCGGTCGTCCAGACAGATCGGTCCGCCGAGGCTGGGGAGGGCGCACCACTGCTCGGCAACAGCAACGGCAATGGCAACAAATCACAACCACAATGCACCAGGGTCCTGCTCAAGGGTACCATCGCTGGTGTATATTCGTGGTGTGGTGGTGCGGCCATCTTGCTGCTCACAAAGCTCGGCGGGCACTTATTTGATGTATCGTCCAGGGGAGCGCCTTTCTACATGATGGCGTTCTTCAATCTTGTGCTGCTTGTCGCAACACTTGGCGTAGACGTGGTGCGTCTCGCCAAGCAGAAACGATCAAAGAACTGAACAAGACGATACTGCTAATTTATTGAAATTTGGGTGGCATTTTACCTTTCGGTTCATTGCTTGGGACTTGGTTATCATGGACGTACAAAGGAAGGAGCGAGACAAACTCGATTGGGAGTTTTATGCAAATACCAGATAGATTTTCTTGCCTCAATCCTCCATTCCATCCTCGATTTCGTCCCCAATGAAATATCTAGGACCTCTCACGGCTGTCCCAGAACACATACACCAGGTTCTTAGCAAGCTGGAGTTCTTTCATTAATGTTTCTTGGTTGGAGCTACGGTGCTCATTGAGTTGATGATTTTTACATTTAGATCTAGTAACCACACAAGCTCTTCGACAAGTGTTGGATGGCCTCAGTAACGAATCTCATATCAGGCGCAGTACTGCAAAGCACAGAACCTGAACATACCACTACCGAGATGTGTTTGTCGACCGAGAGCGGGCCGCGCCACAGTAACAAGCAGCCTGTAGACCATGTAACTACAAGGGATGTCACTTGGCGCTCATATCAAAAGGGAATTGAACATTCCATAAGAAGGAAAACAATTGCATAAGCACCTACCGAATTATTTTGCAGTATATCTGTAATTAGTCTTTTTCCCCGCCAGAGACAGAAAGGGAAAGATGAACAAACCGAGGGAATAGTCAGACATTGTCCAGCACAGGCATAAGAGCTTAGGCTTACGAGGTCTTCTCGCAATTCCCCGACAATCCCGCTGCGTGGAAAATTCTCTCCATTCTCTGTTCCTTGGTCATCTTGGGAGATGGGAGATTTTCAGCTATTTCCGAGAAACGAGTCTATGTCATTGTGAATTTTCTTGAGATCACCCAACAAGCCAGAAATTCTCTCCAACCTCTGGCCCATGGTCCTCACAGGAGAACTCTTCGAGAAAGTAGAGTCCGAATTATTGTGAGGCTCCTCATAGTAACCGATAAGGAGTAGCTCTGGCTTTATGAGTGGGCGCAGCGGCACAGGGGCGTGAATGGGCCCAACGGGAGGCTCCTCGTCCCAGACCTCTGAGGGCTTCAGCGGGCGAGGGAAATGGACCGGGCTTTGGAGCGGCGAGGGGGTCGGGGGTGGAGGAGTGAGACAGGAAACATGAGAGGGGCTCGCAGAGCACCGACTCTTTCTTCTCAAATTACGAGCTGCTTCCCTCTCATCATCCGCGAGGTAGCCGTTGGCATCCGTCGGTAGGGCCGCAGGTGTTCCGCGCCGTCTTGGACGTCTATCCCCAGGATGATACCCACCAGAGAAGAAAACACTGTTTCCCCAGCTGGCTTCCATAGAGGCTGAATCACTCTGTGACACGCAATCGCTCACCTCAGACCCCTCTTCTTCTTGCTCTACACGGTATGATAGTGCCGCTAGCTGTAGCCTAGCCAGACTCTGTTCTGCGGCTTGTATCTCAAGTTGCACCATGTTATTTTCGATCTGCTCCCGCTTGACAATGTGCTGAGCAGCTCTCTGCTGCCAAGTGGTTGGAACAGCATTGCGCCAGGCATCGAGACAAGACTAATAGTCCGGTTTGGAAGGGCCTGACATTTTGGCTGAGATTACTGGCGAACGAGAACAAAGGCCGGAGAGATGATGAATGTACCAGGCTTGAGCTCCAAGTACTGGCGGATAACTATACACCCTGATCAACAAGGTGTGTGAGATGAGTGGCACGAGCTGTTGAGCTTTCCTCAAGATACTCGCCTGAGTTTCCAGTGTTGAGGGATCTGTCGGTGAGGGAAGACGATTGACTCGGAATACTGGAAACGGCTTTGGTTTAAATGTTGAGGATCTTGACCTGCTAGTCCATTATGTTTTGCTCAAGTGGACCATCCTCATTGGAAATGGCGGGGAGCCGAACAATGCGCTTTGTTGCAGAAAGATGCTTGAGGAGGAGAATCTGATTGTGAAATTTGCCTAAAGGTCTTTGCGAGCGATGAATGCTTTGTGTGAAAAGCGGCAGAGGACAGAAAGGAATCCGGAAATCTGGATACCAAGACTCCAGAGCCATAGTCAGGGCTTCAGTACATGAGCCTTGTCATTCTAAATTGAGAGGGCAGAGGTAGGGTGGCTGATATCTTCTATCAGCCAGGACAATCGGGTGCCTGGTGAGTTTCGTGCCCACAACGTGCATTCGAGCGAGCCGTCACTCGGCGAGCAAGGTTGAGCAGACAGCAATGATAACGCGTGCGCGAGGCTATGAAGACGCCAAATTGGGACCTACATTTTCATCGGAGAATTGCCGTGCACTGCCTCGTCCTCTACCTATTTGGTCAAGGTCGACTTTCCCATGTTGGAGTAAAGTGTACTACCAGCGAAAAATGGGCACAAGAGGGGAAGTCCTCTTCCACCTTTTTTATAAGGCCCGGGCCGTATAAGTTACGAATTTTCGTACCGACAGGCGCGAGCTTCCAAGTAAAATGCAGGACTTGTAATCGGTCCACCTGGGCTTCAATGGATATGATGAAAAGGAAAATGGGGGCAGGGTGGTGACTTATACCAGTTGGATATCCTTGAGCAGTTCATCAATATATAAGTCCGTCATACTCCATCTCTCTCGTATGTTGGGCTTCCGTCTCTCGCGGCCAGCCCTTCCCCTGTCGACATCTCAGATATTTTGATCACCATTGCGAACTCAAGGCACAAAATTCCATTCTTCCATCAGCATGATCCTCCCCGGCTCACAGCGGCCATTCCTTGCCCTTGTTGCCATCACAAAAATGGTTGCCTCTCAAGAGTGCAAATGTGTAAGGTCGACCTCACATATGACAGCAACATGTCTGGTCATTGATTATTCGACTCAGGCTCCAAATGACCCTTGCTGGCCATCCTACTCTGCCTGGTCATCCCTAAATGAGACACTGCCAGGCCGTCTGATCCGTACCGTGCTCCCTGCCTTGGTGTGCTACCCCGAGGAGCTTAATTACGACCAAGCAGATTGAGAGATAGTATTGAGGAACTGGACCGCGTCGTCTTTCCACTCGTCGGATCCGACAAGTGTTGACCAACCCACGTACGCCAACAACAGCTGCAATCCCATCTACCCAAACGGGACAAGCATCAGTGGTGGTTCGGATGCTGGAAAAAAGGGCTGTCGGCTTGGCTTCTATCCGCCATATCTTGTCAACGCAACCGAGCCACGCCATGTGCAAGCGGTGTTGGAGTTCATCAAGCAGTACAATATAAGATCCAACATCAAGAACACCGGTCACAACGAGTAAGTAAACCGTCCGTCATAGATCTTCTGCCCAAGTATATTGATAATGAATGCGGAGATTCGCACCGGCATGCACGGCAGTGGTCTCGGGGAATATCTGACGACAAGTGAGCCCGCGCCTGGGTCTCGGCTCGGCCTTGTCGGCACTTTCTTCCTGTTCAATAAGCCAAACGGAACAGTGGAGCGCCTGAACAAAGACCTCCAGGGTTTCTTCGGCTCAGAGAATGCAACTTGCACAGCCAGGGTCACCTCTTCGACCTTTTATTCCGCAGACCTCACCAGTCTTCTTGCGATGTTTCCATTAACTGAGCACGTCGGCCAAGGCGGCGGGCTGCAGGCATCCAGACTTATTACACGGGACTCGCTGACAGGAGACCTCGAGCTTCTTACCGAAGTCTTGTTGGCAGTAGGTCCGAACTTTGATGGACCAATGGTGAGTCGGGCCTCCCCATATCTGCTCCTAATCCCAGTCATTCCTGTTCATACGCTCTCTGAAGCTCACTCTCGCACCTCAGTACCATGGGATGGCATCTCGAATCCGAGCGTGGCCATGACAGTGACGGGCAGCTCAGTGCCCGTCGACAATGCCCTCAACCCTGCCTGGCGAGAGACTGTCCTCCACTTCATCCACACGAGGAGCTGGAAAGACGACGTGCCAAAGGCCGTGGTGGACAGCGCCTATCACAATGCCACGTACATCGCCGGGGAAAAGCTTCGGAAGCTGGCGCCTAACACCGGCGCCTACATCAACGAGGTACGTTGCTCTTCTCATCTGCCCTCAGGGTCGAACTGTGGGCCAATTTGAGGTTGATCTAATACCGTTCTCTCTGATAGGCCGATATCAATGAACCAGATTGGCAGTCGTCCTTTTACGGGCCAAACTACCCGCGGTCCTCCCAGATCAAACAGAAGTACGACCCCGACCAGCTCCTGTGGTGCCCACACTGCCCCGGAAGTGAAGCTTGGGTCCAGCAGGACGACGGTAGACTTTGTCTGGCTCAGGAGTAGCGGGTAGTATATCATAGGTAGTGCCACATACCAATCACTTCCTAGAAGCCTGGCGCGTCCCGCTGTGTCTTCCAAATTGTCAGCGTGAAGGGCAATCGGATTGAAGGGCAGCCACGAAAAGGGCCCAAGCTGGCTCCAATAGGACGTCAAATACATCAAGAGAGTTGTCTATTTCAGTCCACCACTTCTATCGTACAAACACAACCTGGGTGACTGAACAGGGCAGTTCACCGGGTGCTGGACAAATGTTCGACGATGCATCGTTGGTATGAGCATCGTTGGTAGTCCGTTCCCAGACGACCATCTCTTACGCTAAGCAGAAGACTAGGCATCTGCCCGCCTCCGCCTCGGATTCTCAGATGTTCTTGGATCACCGTTGAAGGAGAATGCAAGACTGGAAAACATGTCATCAAGCCAAGATTGGAGGCTTTTAAGCAGTACATGGAATCCTCACCAAATCATCTCGCATAATTTTCCCAAATCACAGCTTGGAGGAACAGAGACTGGCCTACAAAACCCACAAGCGATTTTTAAGCAAAGCACATAGACTGCGAGCCGGTAACACCACGGGACCAGCTGCAGTTGGATCAGAGAAGGTGAAATGCATTTTTTGCTTTTGAGATGTGGACTTGACCGGCCAGACGTAGTGACGTTGAGACCAAGCAGATAGATAAAAACCTGACCCCCCTACCAGCCAAATGCCCTGATCCCGACCGTGTCTCTCAATAATGCCCGTCGGTCTTGTTCCCAGGATCACAATGACGCAAATTTTGGTGAGACGATTTTCTGGCCTTTGTTGTATGTCGACCTGCAGAGTTCTGCATGTGAGATAAGCGTCGCGGACGCTTAGTTGCCGCCCAGGCTGGGGAAAGCACTGGTATCGTTGGGGTTGATGGGGGCAGGGCCGCCACGTCCCCCACGGGGGCCGCCACGAGGGAAGCCGTCACCACCGCGAGGAGCACCCCCACGGGGAGCACCACGAGGAGCACCTCCGCGACGGTCGCCACGCTCACCACCACGGGCACCACGGTCTCCACCACGGCCACGGGGACCGCCACGGCCCTCACGACCCTCACGGCTCTCACGGCTGCGATCGGCAGGCGCACGGTCATCCCAGGTGACTATCTCCTTCTTCTTCTGCTCGCGCGTGCGCAGCTTCTTGCCACCGGAAGCGGCAATGAAGACCTCTTCCTCCTCGTCCTTGACGAGGGCCTTGGCGTCAGCCCACTGCTTGGAGTTGGCACCCTCGTTGGGCTTGCGAGTGGACGTGCCGGCGTTCAGGGCAGCATTCTTCTCGGCCAGCTCGGCATAGTAGGCATCGAGAGAGACCTGCTTGGGCTCAGGCTCTTGGGCCTCGGCCTCGGCATCCTCAGCCTCGGCATCCTTCTGCTCGGACTGAGCAATGGCCTCACCGGCCTGCTCGTCGTTGAGCTCGGCAGCACCCTCGGCGGCACCCCATGACTGAGCAGCTTGCTTCTCGGAACCGCTGCCATCACAATTAGCCCACTGCGCTTTAAAATGTGTACAGGAGGGACGCCAAGACTTACGGCACTATGTTCTTAGTGTGCCTGTCGTCAGCGTTGCGGTGATGGGTTGCGCCACGGCCTGGACATCTCCGGTCAGTATGCGAATCACAATGGATGGATTCGTAGGGTCAAAGAGAGGTACTCACCTCCTCGACCACGAGCGCCACGGCCGCCTCGGGCTCCGCCGCGGGGAGCCTCGTCGGTGGGCTTCCTCCGGTTAGCACCAGAGCCGGCACCTCCATCGCGGAAAGCTGTGTCACGACTGTCAACCATGATCGTAGCCACTATTGGGGGGTGCCATTTCGGCCAGCAGAAGGCCGGGCACACAGGTGATGTTCCATACCAGTCTCGTTAGCGGAGAAGCCACCTCGAGCTCCAGAGCGGGCGCCAGAGGCAGGAGCGGAGCTGGCGGGACCAGTGCCGTCGGCGTTGGCCTTGCCGGTCTTGGTGGTTGTCTTGGTGACGGTCTTGACGGGAGCAGGGTTCTCGGATCCCTCCTCGTCGGTGTTACCTGGTGTTCACAAGGGTGTCAATAAGGACTGGGCTGGACTGATAGCTTGGGCGCGGGCGAGGATGGGGACTGAGCGCGAAAAACAGCAGCGTGGTCAGGGTGGGCGCAATTACCGAGGAGGTCGTAGAGGTTCTGTGGCAGAGGAGACGACAGGTCAGCATTGACTCATGACGGGAGCAGGAGCACAAGAGCACGGAGATGATTGATTCGACGACAACGGGCGCGGTGTGCCGGTGGAACGAGGAGAGAGAAAAGCGAAGGCGGAGGAGGAGGAGCTCTCACCTTTGAGGCGACCGACATCTTGTCACCGGGCAATTCGCCTTTCTGGAAAGGCGTGGGATGTGCGACGACAAAATGGGACTTGAGGTGACTGGGTGTGGTTTGGAACAAGGACAGTCTCTACGCAGACATAATCCTAGGCCGTCGTCGCGTTGCTCTGGTTGACAGAAAGGGTTGAGTGCGAGGCGAGGCGAGTCGGGTGCGGCAGAGCAGGAGAGCAGGAGCAGAGGCAGAGGCAGAGCTTTTGGTGGGCAGCCCGGTGTGGGGAGATTCAATTTTTGCGGCAATGGGCTGGCTGGCTGGCTGGCTTAACCGTGCTGCCGTGGGTTGCAGGTGCAGATGCGCAAGGTGCGGGTGCAGGTCCTCGCCCGTTGGAGGGGGGGGGGTGTGTGTGGCCCGAGCTCCACCCTGTCCCTCGTCCCTCGTCGCTCGTCGCTCGTCGCCGTCCCTGTTCTTCCTCCGCCTAAACGGCCTGTAAACGGCGGACATAGCGTTGGGGCCCAGGGCCACAACGCTAGGCTCGTCATGCAGCACAGCTCTCTGCTGAGAATGCCTGAAACACGAATTGGCAGCCAGACACGCGAGCCATTCCAACCACCAGATTCGTCAATGCGACATGGCCTTACATAATCGCCCAGAGGAACAAGCAGCCAGGTGCCAAGGGGCAGGGGGCCATGTTTTTTGGTCTGCCTCTGCTAATTTCATTTTGGTGGCATAGGGCTCTCTGGATGACGGGCGTTCATTCCATCCTCAATGCAGCATCTGCTTCTGCTTCTGCCGCGGCCACGGCACACAGCAGACTGACCTCACCGTCTCTGCTTCTCCAACATCGCACTTCATCTCGCTCCGGCCCAACCATTCAACCCGCGACAGTTTCAAACACCAACCATGGTGAAATGGGCCCTCTTGATAGCTAACACCCATTTAGATCAACACGACGCAGGCTGAATCATCCTGGTGGGTCAGATTGGACCTACTTTGGCAGAGGGGGCTGCCCTCGGTGCTCGTGCTCGTGCTCGTGCTCATGCTGACCCCTGGCCGCCAATGCTTGATGACTGTTCAACCCACACCACCGTCACATTCTGGCGACGTCAGCGCCGATGTTCCCCATGGTCACGCCGAACGGACGCGTACTCGCCAGACCAACCACCGGACATCTGAGATATCTGATTCTCATCGTGAAAATGGTCCAGGCAGGCCATCTCCAGGCGTAGAGGCGTAATGTACTGGCTGACGTCTTGCCCTACCACTCACCACCCTAGTACTGCGTCCCATCTCCTGGTGTGTAAGGCCTCCTATCCGCCCACATCCCAGTGCCATGAAGCCATACACGTCAGTCCCGTAGGACGCAGGTACCCCGGCCTTAAACATGTCACATCGCTGCACTGTACTTTCAAATTCCCACTTCAGGAGATGCATGCCCACGATGCACGGCCGCTAAAGGTTGCGGCGACGAGTGGTATTCTGGTGCCGTTGTTCTCATCTCGTGCTTCGCCCTCGTCCAACCTCGATTTACATCCAATGTATGACCTGCTGCCACATTTTATCTCGTTTGACTGCACTGCACCAGTCATGATTGAAGGCATTCTCATGAGGCTACTAGATTACTCCAGCAAAAAGTTGTGTGCGTATCATCTCATGACTGCCTCGCCAACTCATCATGGCAGTCCCAACTCATATTGACCAACATGTCAGATAATCGGCATCGAATAGTCGGAAGCGGTAGTGTTGCATGAACTCCAACCCTCTCCAGGCTGAAGCCTGCACAACAGACGTGTTGGTCCACTTAGGCTCGGCTGCCTGTTGCTTTTCCTTGGCGCTACTACGAGCCATCGACTGTTGGCATTCGGCCGTATGACTGGGTCGGCCTGTAAATGGACATTGGGTTGGTGCAGGGAGCCTCCGCAGCGCTGCCTGGTGGATGTCCACCCACGGTGTTTCACATTCCACTTGTACTTCCGCTGCGAAGAGACGCCGGCATACATTAGAGAGCTGTGACTTACACGCTTCTAGTCACATACATGCGCTTAGCTAGTGTGAGTACATGTAGAGGACCTGGAGCCCTCGGAAGTCTGTCTCGTTTCCATGACCGTTCCCAATGCCAATAGCCTCTGTTACCGCATCAAGTCAGAAACTCGTTTGTTCGATCTGTTGCCTCACTTCTCTTCAAAATCACTATGGCTAGCACCACAGATGCACCATCTTCACAAATTGCGACCCTCTATGGCCACAACAACTTTGACCTACGGTGGTCAGAATTCGAAAACTTCCAGGATGAAGCCGACGAGCTTGAAGCCCGCATGGAGGGGATGGCAATCGTCCATCGCCTCTCTGGGGGCCAGGGCTCCTGGTACGTTTTCTCAGGTCTCTACAAGCATTGCTTCATGACTGCTTTACCGTTCCATTGCCTTGTCTATTGGACCCGTCCTTTCTGGCACGGAGGCCATCTATCTAGAAGGGATCAACAGTGAAGCGTTCTCTGGGTTATGAAAGTACCAAACTTTGGACCATGTTGCTATCCTGGGCACACAACACAGAAGCAAAGCATCCTACTAACACAGCAGAAGGGCCACTCTCAGTGTCACCATAAACAGCGTCTTGATGCGAGGATTTCTCACCAGAGTCTTCCAAGGTTACCAAGGATTTGACCCTGATCTGGTGATTTGGACCTTCGAACCGCCTTTCCAACCGCTGGTCCACAGATGGGCCCAACTGAAAGATCTGCACGACGAGCTGAAAGACGATCAAGATGTCCCTCATGACGAGAAACAGGCCGCTGATTCCCTGGTCAGCTTCCTGGACCCTATTCTTGCCCCGTCTGTCGGGGCTCTAAAGCAAACCTGTGAGACGGGCAAGATCTCCTACAAGAACATTTGGCACGTCTTTCCCTCTTCTGAACTCATAGTCACAACAACCCGCGGAGTCCCTGTTCTGGGACGCGTTCTGAAGTACAAGAAGAAGGAAATGGGGTGAAGAATCCACTTTGTGAAGTTAGCCTGGGATGTAAGCTCTTGCGGCTACGTTCAGGAAGTTGCATGGATCGAGCGCTTCTCGGGTGACCGTTACGTCAACTCGTTGAATATGTATCCTCTGTCTTTCCACAAGGACCCTGAGGGCTTCAGGAGCGCGATGCTCGAACGAGGGAGGAAATTTGAGCGTCTTAGAGGGTACCAAGCTCAGTCCTACAAGGGGAGTATGCATCTCTTGGATGATAAACTCATCACAGGGAAAATGCCGGTAAGCTTAACTTGCTGCTAGTGGTCCTCAGGAATGTGGACTTGACTCATCTGACAGCATTCACAGGTTGAGGGTCGTGTCATTATCGACACATTTGCATACTACGCGTCCTCTGGCAACGATAGGCCCGAAATGCGGCCAGTGGGGTCTGTCGATGGGACTGAATCCAGGCCCAGAGCTGTTTCCAGGGCTGATTCTCGGTCTAGCTCACGATCTCGCAGTCAAGATTCATGCCGGCCCGAAAGTCCTTATCAAACATCCCAGCCCGACGAATATATCCAGGATGAGCCCCAGAGCCCTCAAGATTCCGAGTCCGGTGACTTCATCCAGGTCCCGTCTGACTTGAGTGATGATATAGGCCCTGACTTGTGGGGTCGGAAGGAAGATCTTTCACCGCTTACGAATGAGCAGTGTCTGGTCGCGGATCCATGGCTCACGGCATTTGACCTAAAGGCGAAGCGATGGGGTAAGAAACGAAGTCCTTGCCGGCCACTCGATTTGGCCAAAGAATTGCTGACCAGTGTCACTAGGTCTCGTGGACATTGACGGCCTGTCTGACGTCGAGTGGAACTATGACGCTTTCGATAATCTTGTTGTCCCGGACGACGAGAAGCAGCTGGCCTGGGACTTTGTGGAGAGCAAGACCACATCAAATGAAGCTTTCGATGACTTCATCCCGGACAAGGGCCGGGGAATCATCATCCTGATGTTTGGCCCGGCAGGTGTTGGAAAGACTTTCACGGCTGAGGCAGTGGCTGAACGCGCAAACGTGCCTCTCTACTCGATGAGCGCAAGCGCACTTGGCACAGAGCCTGCAGAGATTGAACAGAACCTCGACAGGGCGCTGCAGATGTGCAAGTTGTGGAACGCGATGTTACTCCTTGACGAAGCGGACGTCTTCCTGGCAGCTCGGCAGAGTGAAAGCATGAAGCGCAACGAGCTCGTGTCTCTGTTCCTGACCAAGCTGGAGTACTATCCCGGCATCCTTTTCTTGACAACTAATCGGGCTTCTGATATCGACTTCGCCTTCCAGTCCCGGGTGGACCTGTTTCTCCCGTACTTCGAGCTCACGCCCGAAGCGCGGCTGAAGATCTGGAACAATTTCATCGATCGAGCCGGACGAGAGGGGTTCTCGTCTGCGAACATGGAAGTGGAATTGGAGAAGTTATCCCGACTGTGCTTGAACGGCAGAGAGATCAAGAATCTGGTCAAGACCAGCCAGTTGCTCAGCCAGAAGACTGGCGGTTTCGGCTCCATGGAGAAGCTCTACTTCCTCGCTGAAAAGCGTGTCCACGCCTTGAAGCTGCTTGCGGAGCGAGGAGCCTAGTGTAAGCAGTTTGCGCAAGGTGCGCCCGGGCTGTGTGGATAAATGGGGTGTTTCGGTCACTGCATTGTGCCAATTCGTTGTATTACTGCCGCCTGAACATAGACTGATTACTTTTGAGATAAATGCAGCCTTTTATTTGCTTATCAATAAAACGTAGCCCCCATTTTTCAGGCTTTCGTAAGCACCGTACAGATCTCATGTGGTTGTTTATAAGCTGACCACCTGTGCCACCAAGCAAAGCCATCTTTTCCGGATCATCCATAGCTCCTCAACGCCGAAACAGCTCAACTTCATAATGAAATTGATTCATTTATACCAGAGCTGGCTTGCAGAATCCGCTCGTTCGCCGCTGTTGCACCTGACATTGGCGCGCTCGTCCACGTGTTGCGTACGCCGGGAAAGGACCAAATCCTCAACCATTCCGAGAAGCCTGGAGTAATGGCTTCAGGCTGGATCCAGAAGAAGACCTTCCTGTACTCGACTTCTTTACCGTCATCATCCAGGCGGAGGTCCACTTCGTCCGTAATGTCCGCACTCCTGATGCGAAATTGATCTGCCGGCAGCGGTGCCTCGACATCGTTGGGAAAATCTGGGAGGGCGGGATCGAGACTAATCCCATGCTCGATTTCAATGCAGCGCATGCCGACATTGTAGCAATTCCTCGCGTTGAAGAAGCTCTCCCGCTCGTATCCGACAAGTGGAATGTATCTCAGCGCAGCTAGCCGTAAGTCCAGACGTCGGCAGTTGAGGGTTATGAAGTAGAGGTAAGGCACGAACCCCATTTCGAATATGAACTTCGCCTTCGGCCCACTTTCCTGCTTTGAGGTCAACGAGCTGCTGGAACAGTTGTATAAGCTCCTCGAAGTCCTTGATGTGTTCGTCGTAGATCGTTTCGTCGCTGTTCAGGCAGCACGAGGCCCATATCGTGCCGATGATGCATTTCGTTTCGTCAAAGAGGTGCGACGCCATGTCCTCAAGGCCAAGCGAACCTTGTAGCCTGGTACTCCTGTAGTAATTTCGCCACGCGACCAGAACTCCTGAGATACGCCTTTGTTCATCGTACAAGTGGTCCGGCGTCGGCAAGTGCCGCAAAAGACCTTGACGGTGGCTGAGGCCCTGTCGCACCAGTCGAACCGTCCGGTTGATCAGCCAGTCCCAGGTCGTGGTCCTCTCCTCGGCTGTGACATCCACGGCCAGTGGATCTGAGATCAGGCCGACAGGCTCTGGGAAGTCCCCAGCCTCAACGCCGAACAAATACGGAAACGTGGCGAGGCGCAGGAATATCGGCTGGAGTTCCCGCTTCGCCCAGCCCGAAAGCCCCTGTGGTAAGCTATTGCAGATCGTAATGCCATGCCGACAATGTTCGATAGCCATGTCTTTGTTTCCGCGCAGCGTTTCTATACAAATGAAGAGCAGGCAGACGAGGAGGGTCATGTTCTTGTCACTGCCCGCGGAAATCAACTTGTTCAGCGCCAGGTTATACTGAGTGATCGCAAACGTCTCTTGGGATGCCGTCAGGAAGTTGGCGTTGGTGTTGGTCAGTCCCTCATACACAGAGCCTATGCACACCAGGGCGTGGCGCACTGCTGGTTCCTGCTGGCCGACCTGGGAGACGAGGATGTTCCAGAACTGCTTGCTGGAATTCTGCGAAAATACCGGCGCAACCTGTTCCCTGAAGAAATCCAACGCCCGGGCTTCCATGTCATTCGAGGTACAACTGTTACTCGGGTTCCGGTGGACAATGAGAGGAGCGACATTTTGAAGCGAGAATAGATCCGCCCAAGAGTATGCGGCCTGACCCGTCGGAAGGGCCGGATATCCTTCGCATTTGCGGCCTGTGGATGTGCATCTCCGACACTCTGGCTTGGTCTCGTCACATTTGACCTTCCGTGCTCTGTTCCCGCTCTGATGAGTGCTTGGTCGCCTAGGAGACAAGCTATCAACTCACTTGCACGTGAAGCATCCTGGACAGATAAAGGAGTCAGCAACGAGTGAATTGAACGATGAGGTTGTTACGCGACCTTACCTGTCTTCACCTTGGTGCTGCCTTTTCTTGTCATGGCTGACCTGCCAAGTCTATCAAGTCACAGCGATTTAGACGCCGAACCTGGCAAGTTTGCACAAGTGCCGTCCACATCAGGAGCAAAATGAAGTTGAAATTCATCCACAGGCAAGAGTCTAGAGAGGCTTAGATTTGGGGGAGTAAGCCGCACGTCGGTGAGTGGGTGCGTGGGTGCACAGCCTGCTTACCAGGTACGTAAGCGACTTACTAAGCCCCAACCACACTCCCTCTGGGCCTTCTCCTACCGTGCCCCTGGGCCCTCTGAATGCCGTCCTTTTTGCTTAGAGAGATAGCGCCTACTTAACTTGAACTGACGTATTTGAGGCCAGCTGCCATGTGTCTGAACCCTGTCGTGGCGTAAGCGTTGAGAAAGTCCTTGACTTGCACAAATGACCAGATGGGCCAACAATTTTGTATCACATGGAACGAAGTCAGGAGTAGGTATAGAGAGGACTTTGATAAAGAAACCTAGGGACACCAAAGGGGAAGTGAGGTGCTGTTCTTAGAGCTAAAGGCCACGTCTTCTTCTGAAACGTACTCTTCAAAGTTGCACCACATAGCACGCGGAACTTTGCCTTCTTCCCCTTGCAGGTGTCTACACCCCGTTGCTAGACGACGTTGCGTACAGACAAGTTTCTGCTGTAATCGGTACGGCGGTATAAATGGATGAAAGACAGGTGAGCATCTTCCATTTAATCAGGCATGCTCGTATGATACACTCTATCTATCTAATTTGGGGCATCTACATGCTTTGTAAGGTAGCCTGTAAGGGTACGGTTTCGGATGCTTTCAAGCCTTTCTATAAGGACTTCAAGCCTTTGTATAAGGACTTAAGTATTGTGTATTGACTTCCTACTGTTGCTGTTGTCCCCTCTGCATCTGGAACAGCTCTTTGAACCTCGAGTCCCTCTGTACCAAATCCACGGGCCTGCCACTCTCGACCACCTGACCTTGATCCAGCACAAACACGACGTCGAAATCCATGATGGTATCTAGCCGGTGAGCTACGGCGATGATGGTGTGATTTTGAAATTCGGAACGAATGATCTTCTGCACGAAGGCATTGGTTTGGGAGTCAAGGGACGCAGTGGGCTCATCCAGGATGAGAACGGAAGACTTGCGAACAAAGGTGCGCGCGAGACAGAGTAGCTGACGCTGACCGTGCGACAACATGTCCACCGTCAATGGCATATTTAACACGGAGCTTTGTAGGTCGTCTCCTTCTTCGTCACCGCCACTGTCTCGCTTGGCCATCTCGAGAACATCCAACAGTCGTACTTGGCTCAGCGCCGCTTTGACTTCTTCATCCGTGGCCGTGCCAAGGGGGTCGACGTTGTCTCGCACCGTTCCCAGGAGCACGAATGGGTCTTGTGGCATGGCAATGAGTCGACTTCGTACCACCTGTCGTGGTATGTTGCTGATGTCCAGGCCATCGATGGTGATGCAGCCCGATTCAAGGTCCAACATCCTCAGCAACGACAAGATGATGCTACTCTTACCGCTGCCGGTACGCCCGCACAGGGCCACCCGAGTTCCTGGCTCAATGGAGAAAGAAAGGTTGTTCAGTGTTGGCATGCAGTTCGCCTTCTCGTCGCTTGAATTATCACCGACTCGAGCAATATTCTTGTAACTCGCGGTAACATTACGGAACTCGATGCCACCAAGGGACGGCCACTCCTCTGGGATTTTATAGTCTTTGTCGCCCGGTGAATTCTCAGATTTGGTCTCAGTGGTGAATGTGCGCACTCGTGCCAACGCCCCCATAGATGTCTCTAGCAAGGTGTAGTTCGAGATGAGTTGCTTCAGCATTTGTGCGAAGCTGACGAGGTTCACGAGCGCCAGGCCCGTCATAGAGGCGTCAGTGTGGCCTTTGCCTTTCACCGCTATAATGACAATCAGAATGGCGATAGAGCCCACGATTAAGTCGAGAACCATGTTTAACCACCGCTGTACACAGTACAAGAGGTAGAAAGGCTTTTGTGCCGAGTTGAGGGCCTGCATGAATTGTGAAAGCTGTCTACCTTCCGACTGGAACGCACGGATGGTGACCTGGCCGCTGAGAAGTTCCAGAAACTTGGTGCCCAGCCTGGCCTTGGCTTCGATATCCAGAAGTCTCAGGCGCCGAGAGGTGCGCAAGTAGAACATCTGCACGAAGTAAACGACTGCTATGGCACATGGCAGGGCAATGCCAACATATTTCGCCGAGACAAGTATGACCACGAGCTGTGCAACTAGAAGGCATGCCATCATCGCCGACCGCACAAGTGCCACCGGAAGCTCCATGTCGATTAGCTCGAGGTCCTGGCTGAATCGATTGGTGATGGCGCCGGTGTCAGTGGACGCAAAAAATGACATGGGCGCGGACAGGACGGTGGTCAACAATCGTTGATGAAGCGTCCTTGCTGCCCGTGGAACCATTGTCATGACCATTGTCGAAGCGGCGAGAGCAAGTGCAGCCACACCAAAGGCAGCGAAGATGGCGTACAGGGCGAGGTAGTAGGCAATCTTTGAGTGAGGATGTTCTTCGTTATACGAGGTCCACCATTTCACCCAGACGCTGGGAAATGCTGTGCCGAATCCATAGAGGGCACAGAAGATCCAGAAGACAACCCAACGGGTCCAGCCAAAGGTCCGGATATAATAGCCATAAATGCCCAGATGTCCAAGTGATGCGGCCGGATGAGAATCGGCCTTGTCGTCGGATGAGCTCTTGGCTCGGCCCGAGCCTAGTGAGCAAGGCATTTTTGAAGACCTTTTCTCGGCTTCATGGCGTTCTGGCGGAGTATTTTCCTCTTTATTGAGGACTGACACGTAGCCGTTCGCACGAGACAAATCATCGAACGTGCCTTGTTCCGCAATTGTGCCGTCCCGACCCAGCGCAATTATGTGGTCAGCCTGGGCAAAGCGACGGACTGAATTCGTCACCAAAATGACTGTGGTATCGTTCCCTCTCAGGAGACCCTTGGCGCCGAAGAGGGACTCAAAAACGATTTCTTCGGTCGATGCATCCAACCCACTCAAAGCATCATCAATCAGAATGAGACTGCGACGAGCATAAAGTGCCCGAGCAAGTGACTATGAATGTACAAAAGACGTTAGGGAATTCCACAGCACCTTGGCTTCCATAGAAATTTGAGGTCTTTTGCACTTACCAGGCGTTGTTGCTGTCCTCCTGACAAGCTGAGACCTCTCGTTCCCACGAGAGTCTTGCCCCCCATGGGCATGGCAGCAAGATCGGCGCTCAAGTCACAAGCTGTGATTACCGAATCGTACCAATTTCTGTCCACATCGTATCCTTGCGTGATGTTGTATTCCACGGTTTCATTCACCAGCCAAGGACTTTGGCTGCAGTAGGCTGTTGTCAAAGTGGATGATCGTGAGAGACCTTCGCAAAGTGGTGTTTCTCCAAGAATTGCATTAAGCAGTGTGGACTTGCCGCTACTGACAGGGCCGACCACCATCGTCAGAGATCCCTTCTTGACCCGAAAGTCGAGGCCCTCGAGGACTGGCGGCGTGGTCTCATTCCATCCACACCTTGCCTTTGCCGCCACGACAACGCAGCTGGAAGAACCGTCACCCTTGGCTGCCTCCCCGGCTTCTAATTGCTCCGCGGACAAGGAACTCATAGTCCCTTTCTCGACCTCATCTGAGGATCTCTTTCTAGGGTTTCGTGGCGGGTATGGAGGCCCACTTGGAGTGCACAGCGAATCCAGGTCTCTGGGTTGCTGCTGTCGCCGCTTTGTTTCTGTGTTGAGATACTGCCTGATTCTCTCAAAGCACCCCATCGCACCCGTCAGTCCAGAAAACGCCGTGATGAAGAACGCTACCGGTTCGAAGAGCAAGTTCATCAAGACGAGGGAGGTGAGGGCTCGGTCGGCTGTAAGAGTCGGGTAATCATGATACTTCGTCATTGCTATATATGTGCCAAATGCAACAACTGGGCTCAGGGAGGTACTCGCAAATGCTGTTTGATCATCGATCAGTCTTGGGCACTAGCCGGAACATAGATAAATGCCATTGCGAAACTAACAGAAAGTTGTGATTGTGACCAGCATCCGGCGGAAGACGTCGGAGTTCTCGACTTCCCTCTCGCGGAGCTCAGTAATATTCTTTTCCAATTCAGGGGTGAGGGCAGTCATCTTGACCGGCTTGATGAGGCCGATCATGGCAGTCGTCGTGTTAACGCGGGCTTGGATTCGATCCAACCACGACTTCTGCGAGGATATGAGCTTGGGCGCCGATCCAAGGGCGCCACTCGTGCATATCAAGATAACTCCAAGCGGGGCCAGCGCGGCCCAGCTGATCTGTCTCGAAAGTAACCACACCGAGAGTGGGATTTCCAGCAGGCTAGCCCACAACTCCTGAGACTGGCGGAGGCCGGTAGCGATGCGCTCCACGTCTGCGTTCATCAGGGTCACCACACCGGACTCTATCTGTCCTGCCACGCTCATGGCCAGTGTCTCGCGATAAATCAGTGCGATCAAAGATCCTCGTAGATTGGCTACGGCTCGATATACACGATGCTGGTTCAGGGCACCGGAGAGCGCATAGCCGTAGTAGACTAGAACGTATGCGAAGATGAGTGCAACTCCCACGGCCGGTCTATTCGAAGGGCCATCTCCGGAGAGAAAGCTCAAGACCCTCTGGAGGAGAAATGGTTGGCTGAAGTTGAACCCGGTGAAACAGAGGCGAGGAATGATCACCGACGCAAAGCTAGGCCCAGAGAACGTTGCTGCCACCCAAAATAGGGAATTTGGCTGGTCTTTTCTCGAGTCTGAGAACAGGTTAGTATCAGGAAGCATGCCTCACCCGTGATTTTCTCACTTACGGCTCTCCCACCTGTCGGCCAATCCTTGGAGTTCACGCTCATCCCCAACATATGGGTCGACGTTGAATAAGTCAGCTTCCTGAAGCGGTCGTGAGTAACCACTGAGGAGCAAAGGATTTATCCACCAGAAGACAGACGGTTGAAGAAATTTGCCACGTATTCCGGAGCAAGCCGGCCATACTTATCCAGTAAGAGGCTGGGTTTCTCCTTCAGCTCCAGGATGAGTAGGACAAACTTGATGGGCAAGGCGGAAAGAGTTATCCAAGCAAGAGACCTAGCGTCTTCCGTGGCGAAGAGGGTACGAACTCTGGCAACGTCGAAGACCAACGACAGCAATAAATAGATTCCGATCATAGAGGAAGGCCTCGGGCTTCGATAATGTTCAAATATGGAGCAGGCACACAGAGCGCCAGATGCCACGATGGAGATGACTACACATGCTATAGATGCAGTTGTCCTCACGGAACTAAGCATGCAAACTGCACCAAGGAGTATGACTTGAGTGATACCATACAGAATGTAGCAGCACTAGGATTAAGACGTCAGTTCACAGCTGTTACACATAGATAGCTGGTCCCTGAAGATTAGAATTACCTGCTTTGCGATATGCCACGCCCTTCCTCTCACAACCGGTACTGCATTTCGAAGTTGAATTATTCTCCAAATCAGCGTCGGTAGTACTACCGACACAGGGACAATAGACAAAAAAGTCTCTTCGAAAAATAGCGTGAAGTCCAGTCCATCATAGCACGAGGCGTTGGACGGCCCGAACCTTCGTTGCGTGTCGATCGTGCATGGCTGGGAACCTGGGATTGACATTGCAGCAACGAATCTGGGGGCTGATGTGGATACCCAGTCGGGCAAGCAGAGAAAGACAATGTGAAAGCAAGACCTGAGAGAGTTCAGAAGCCCGGGTGACACCGAAAACTCCCACAGGAACAGTGCTCCCGCTCTTCCTCTGGCCTAGCAACTACTGACACACCATGCCTTGGGGAATGTGGCCTAGCAATTGCCGATGACCTGAGCAACTCGGTGAATAGCTGAATCATCCTCCAGAGCGAGATTTGACCGCTCAATGATACATACTGTTCTTACGAGAGGTTCTCGGTCATTTCGCCCGACGTGGTTGTATGGCCTAGTTGTGTGCTTGTGCATGCAGGTCTGACAATCAGGATCACACACATGTGAAGCTGGTCTTTGATAAGTGAATGTTGGCGTATTGCATACCAGGAGTTTGCGGCTGAACAGCTCAGTTTGTGGCGGCCGGGGGAGGTCCTCAACCAGTCTTACTCCCCTGTTTGCAAAGTGCTTGGAAGGAAATTACCACCTTTGAGGTCCGGAACAGGTGTAACGGTAGTTGCCGCCTCGCAGGTGAGTTGGCTTACCAACTAGACCTGAAGCAGTCAGATCAGCACAGACTTGTAGATATGATCTTACTAGGCACCTACCTACAGAATCTAGTGCTGATGAATATATTGCCGAATTCCCAAATCTGGATCTCAGCCTTCACTTAAGAACTAGGATGTTTTCGAGTATTGATTGCGGTAAGTCACCCATGGCATTTCGGTGCCTCACACGAGCGTCCCAATCCTTGACCGTCTCATTTGATTTGTGGACCCGGATCTGGCGGGATACGCGCCGATGGATTGTCGGTTAGTAAATCCATACCTGCTCAACTAGGTAGTTACGTTGTAAAGAGGTACATAATTAGGTACTTTGGATACAAGTATCTTTCGATTCTGGATTTGTGGCTTACATGGTGTCCCTGCAAGTTATGTCCGCTCACATGATCCTTCCGAAGCCGTGCGATCCAGCACTTGGGACCAATGGTCATGAGTATCAAAGTTGGGATCGTCCGTTGTGCCTAGAAACCCCCCAGCGCCGCTTAGCAGGACTCAGCCAGCGATTGGTGCAGTTTCTTTGGCACTTCCTTGGTGTTCCTTGGTGTAGAAAGGTTGGCCACATGTAAGCAGTTAAATCTGGCGGTGAGCAAAAAGATTTCGGAAGAATGCGTGGGATTACAGTGATCGCCTAAACCTCAGGGTGAGACTCGCATTAGGCGTCAGGGTCAATGTCTACCTCTGACCTAAAAGACCCAGGTGGGGAGGAAACCCTGACCAGGAAGCCTTGACGAGAAACATGGCAAACAGGATGCATAAATTGAAAGATGGTACAGAGCAATTCTTGGCAAGAGTCTAATGCGAGTGGGTGGTGGCTAAGAAAGACGATAGTGTAGTAATTTTGCCTTGACGGCTGCTCCTTGGTTGATATCAGGCAGAAGCGCGGAACCTGAGGACGGGTCCGTCTCTTGCACTGGTAATGTGGTCCCTAAGCTGGAACTCGTTACTCCTGTGTCTTCCAAGCCCAGCCCCTGGCCGCCCTCCAGATTTGTCGTCGGAGGCCATCTTGAACTCTAGTCTGTAAAGAACAACAGCAAAAGTTGCCATCATTTCCACGAGTGCCACGCCCTTGCCCATGCAGCTTCTTGGTCCAAGTGAGAATGGGTTGTGTGCCGTGTGCTGATCCGCAAGCTGTTCCTGCACGTGTGGTGGAGTGTTGACTCTGTCCACAAGCCAGCGCTCAGGGTTGAAGTCGAAGGGATCGGGGAAATATTTCTCGTTGTGTTGGATACTGTAGATTGGAACTCCAACATCACAGCCCGGGGGGATGAGATCACCATCGACAACAGCACCGCCGGCAGGGACTTCGCGAGCGAGGGATTGACCGACAGATGGTGACATCCTCATCGCCTCGTCGATGCAAGCCCGGAGGTAACGGCAGCTATTGAGCTTCTGCAGGCTCCCGGCAGCGGTTGTGCCTTCAATGATGTCCTGGACGCTGGTGAATGCAGCCCGCACTTCGGCCCGCGCGCGGCTGTAGGCTGCTGGGTTTCTGGAGAGATAGAAGAACACGGCGGACACAGCGGTTGCCGAGGTATCGCCCCCGGCGACAACTAGGGTGACGCTCTCCGCCACCATTTCTTCGGGGGTAAAGCCACGACCAGTCACGGGGTCTTGGGTGTGACGGAGCATCTGGAAGAGATTGGTGCGCTGCGAGCTATCAGCTCGACTCGTGTCTCGGAGAAGCTTGCCCACAAAGCGCAGGAAAATGTTCCGGGCAGCAATTGCTCGCGGGAAGAGCAACTTATCCACGCGGAACATCTTCAATATCGGGGCTTGCAGTAAAGCGCTGACACGGATGTTGGAGGCCTCGATGACCTTGGGGATGTAGCGGTACTGCTGCCTCTCAAGCATGTTGTATTTGTCGGTGAAGATAAATGAGAACATGAGATCAAAGGTCAACCAATTACACCAATCGGCCATGTTGCGCGGGTTGGTCCAGTCAGACTGTCCCAGATTCCCGCAGGTGCTGTTGTCTGAGGCCTCTTCTTCGGCCGTCTGAAGGAGACGGTCGCAAAAGCGGTTAATGATGGCAAACATATCCGGATAGAAATCCCGGACAGTGGAATCGGCCAGGCCAGCCTGGATGACCCGGCGCCGACGCCCATGGTCCTTCCTGTCAAGAACCGTGAGGGAGTTGGCTGCTTGGTGAAGCAGGGCCGTATAGTTCTTGCTCTTTGTGTACGGTTTGCCCTCGGCGTATATACCTGAGGAAACATTTTAGTTCTCGTGCTGTGCAAGGCTGGGTTGAAGATGGCCTTGGGCGTGGGCTTACTCCTCAGAGCCGAGACTGTGTTGACATTCAGCCGGTTTGGCGCATAGCGCACCTTGTCGCCATACTTCTGATGACATCTCCACATATCGATGTGGATGTCTCCGCGCCAGGCATGATACCCTGCATATAGCTCGGTGATCTTCGCTAGAAAGGGCCCCGGATATTTGGCATATGGGTGGAAACAAAGGTTGTAGATTATGTTGGCCAGAATGTGGAAACCAAGTAGACATGCTACAACGCCAAAGATCGCTGGGGCCTTGGCCACAACCGTGGTCCAGACGACAAAGGCTTGTGGGGTAACGACAGTTTCCGTGACGGTCGCCATGGCTACTGACCACCTCGCATGCAACGTGCAAGAGGTCGGTAGGAATGAGGAGAGACAAATGAGAGTATGGAAGATTTCGACTCTTGCGCTGGAAATTGGGAGACGATGTCTGCTTCGCCGCAGTCCTGTTGCTGTTCAACGCGCTAATGGTGCTCTCCAGGACCAATTCATCAGCGTCCCTTGGTGCAGGATTCAACGCCTGCGGTGTCTCCACCAGAGCACGTCCAAAGGCTGGACGATGGTTCCGCTCCTCCGCCACCGTCATGCAGTCGGTTCGACTCTGTGCCCTCCATCTCAGCTTTAACATGCCAACCTCAGACAGCTCGTCCGAGTGGCCAGACGAGATCAGCAGTTTCTCATAATAACAATTTTTGTCTCACGCCGTAAATGATGATGGAGTGGCTTCACAGTAAGCAAACGTGAGAAAGTGACCTCAGCGCAGGAACGGTAGGGGTACTCCCACTGCAAGTGACATGGGGGCGGATCCATCAGACTAGGGGCTGGGTCAAGTACGCCAACCCGTAACTAACCGGATGTGCAACCCAATGTACAACAGCCTGATCCTGGAAGCATCGTTGCAGGAGACCGCATGAAGCTGAAATCCTCTGGGTCCCAGCCAGACTGTGCGCCATCCTGGGTGGTTTGGCGTGGAGTGGCGGACGATCCACACAGCACGTGCCAGTCCTCCTCCTCCGCGGCTCCGTGCCATTCGCAGTTGCGCAGTTGCAACCACCGAGGGACTCGACTTCGAGCTCCCCATTTAAACTTGTCCATTCATGGATCTGTGTGACGCCAACAAATCCCCGGAATTGAAATTCAACGCGGTCCAAATCAAGCACATGTATCGTCTGGCGGCGGATGCAGGCGTACAGGGATAGCAGCCCTGCCGCCTGGTGCTGGTCGGGCTTCCTGTGTAGGTCATCTCCCCCGGGATAGTGGAAGACACCTCCATCTCTGAGGTGGCTCATAAGCTGACAAGGATCTGGGTAGAGGCACCAATTCTGTTCACCCGTGAGATGACAGACATCCAACCCTTGCTGTTGTCTGAATTTGCAATTCGTCAAAGCGGGAAGATCGACCCGTCATAAACGCTTACCAACATGATGAAGCGTACGAGAGAACTTCTGTTGAGACCTTTCGACACAGCCAACTCAGTGTCGCGAGAATTCGTGTCGTCCAACAAGCCGGACCTCGAGGATAGTAATGATGCGGCGCCGGCTGCTTCCGGCGGCGGCGGAGAAGGAGCAGGCCAAAGCGAAGTCAAGAAAAAGCCAGGGACCAAGACGGTTGAGCTGTAATCGCGTGCAGCGGGTCAAGCCCCGCCTCTGATAGCAGGTGGAGCACCAGAGAGGGCTTCCGAACCCGTCGCGTTTCTTCCGGATGTTCCTGTTACCGCTGTGGAGATGATACGGAACATCGTCGGGAACGCATGGAACGAGAAGGCAAACGGAGGTCGGCTGCAGAAAATCCATCAAAAGCTTGTCGGGAGGGGCGCTCGACGGTGCAAAACGAGACCATCGGCGACCTCGACGCAGAATTCGGGGTCTCCTTGCCACAGGGTGCGAACGCCGAGGATATGACGATCCGGGAGCTCGCAACAAGGCTGAGCAGTCTGCACCATCGCCATCGTTGGGCAAACGCAGCAAGGCGCCTGTTGACAGGATGTTGTCTCAATCAGTCAGTTGCTCGGCGGACGTTGCAGTCAGATTTCGGATCATGTCGGGCCGACAGGACGCTGTGCCCCCTCATTGCCTTGCAGACCACCCCCTGTCCGTCTTGATTCGGAACACACTGGTGCACAGGCATACGTGACTGAAGTCGGCATCACGCTGCGCAAGACCTCTCCGGATCAACCAGCACAGCAAGGCCGCCAGTTGACGACGATTGACTATGCGGAGCTGGAACACTTGCCCACCAAGTCCAACCAACCCCATCGCCAAGTTCACGAGGCGCATGTCAAGAATATTGGAACAGACAATGGCGAGGCATCTCATGCTTCAACCACCGCTGAACTAGAACTAGAGAGCAAAGCTCAGAATCTACAAGACGCATTGCAAGAGTGGAATTTCGAACACGGCAGTAACTATGCTCCTGAATTCAAACCTCATTTTAACGAGAAAACTATTAGTAGGTCTCTCGTACGTATGATAATTATATGGGAAGCAATCATATATTGGTATTGTTCTATTTAAGTTCTAAGAGGCTACGTGCCCCGGAGGGGATAACTAAAGTAGCCTTTTAAGTAATAAGGGTTATACTTATTAATATTTATAGTTTTTCTCTTCTTTTAATAAGTATATATAATCCTTATTATAATTAGCCTTAAAATTATAATTTATTATATATTAAGTATATATAATCTTTATTATAAAAAAGCATTATTAAAAAGGCTTAAAATTATAACTTATAAGTTTTAAAGTAAGTCTTAACAACTTTTATTATTATATTACTCTTTAAACTTATAACCTTTATTATTATACTATTTTTTAAATATTATACTTATTATCCTTAATATTTAGCTTTTAAGATTACTTCTTTATAAAGATTATTAACTTTTATATAAAGGCTTTAATTTTAAATTTCTTTTTTATAAAAAAAGTTAATGCTTACAAAGTTAATATTAAACCTTTTAGCTTATATTTATTTTTATTATATATTTTTATAATATAAATATTATTATTTTTATCTTTACTTTTATTATTAAAATGCATTTAATATTACTTTAAATTATTTTCCTTTAGCTACTTCTTATCTTTTTAAAACTAAGTATTATAAGCAGTTTAATTATTTATTAAGTTCTTTTCTTATTTTTTATTATTCTTTTTAATTTCCTTAATAATTATCTTTTGCTTAAGTTACTTAAATAATAATATATATTTCTTAATAAATCCCTTTATATATAGGCCTTATATATATTTATTAATAATTTAATATAAAAAGTTTTAAAGCTAAATTAATATAATAATTTAATTCTTTAATAATTAAATCTTTTTAATTTAATATATATAAAAGATACTTAAGATTAAAACTTTTATTAAGTTATTTATTATAAAAATTATAATAATTTAATATTTAAAATAATAATTGCTTTAATGGTTTTTATTATTAAAAATGCTATATAATCTTGCATTAAGAGTTTTAATGCTCTTAATATAAATATATAGCTTTTTAACTATATTATTAAAAAATATTTACTTATCTTAATATTAAAAGTTATTAATAATTTAAATAATAATTATTATAATAATATTATTTAAAAAAAGTATTTTAACTTAAGTTATAATTATAGCCTTTAGCTTATTAATTTTAATAATTTTATAAAAGTTAACCTTAATAAGCAGCTTGCTTTTTTTAATGCTTAATATAAAAGTAAAATTAAAGGCAATCTTTGCAATCTTTATTAAGGTTTCGTTAACTTAGTTTTAATTATCTTTATTATTAATAATAATTAAATTATTATTAATATTAAATAAATAAGAATTATTATTATTAATATCCTTATTAATATTTATTAAATAAGTAAGTAAATAAAAGTTATTATTATTAATATCCTTATTAATATTTATTAAATAAGCATTATTAATAATAACCTTATTATAAGAATTAGCAAGATTAATAAGCTTATCTTTATCCTTATTAATTAAGGCAATTTTAACCTTTCTTATAGCCTTAATAATAATTTTAATCTTTATTTTATTATTTAATGGAAATATAATTATAATATTTATTTTATTAATTAAAATTATAATTGCAATATTTATTTTATTAATTAAAGTTATAATTATAAAGCTTATTTTATTAATTAAGGTTATAATTATAATATTTATAAGGGAATCTTAATTTTAATTAAGGGTTGTAGTAAGGTTACTTTTAATGCTAGCTATATTAATAGCAATTATAGCAATAATTATACTAAATATATTCTTAACACAGAAAGTAAATGCAATATTTACTAAATAATTTTACTTGCTATTATTATTCTTATAAAATATATTAATAAAAGTATTAAATAACTTTTATAAGTTATTATTAATATTTTTTATTATAATAAAAAGAAAAAAGATTTTATAGGAATTTAATAATTAAAATAAATATTTATAATATAAAACTTTATAATTATTATATAATAATTATTAATTTATTCTTTAATTATAAAAAAAGTTAATAAGTTATAAATAAATTTAATAAAAGTTAATTTTAATATTATTATTAATAAATAATAGCAAAAAGCAATAATAATAATAAAATTAACTTTAAAATAATAATTATTAATAATATTAATAATTATAAGGTTATTTTTATATATAATAAGGTATTAAAAAGGTTTTAATTAAAATATAAAAGGTTAAAGTTTATATTAAAGGTTTAAGTTTAAAAGGTATAAAGTTTTATAATTAATAATAATAAAATTAAAAGGAAAAGATATTAATAATAAGTTGCTTCTTTCTTAGTAAAAAGGGGTTACTTTAAGTTTTTTAATTAATTTATTTATTTATATATAAAGCTTATTATTATTAATAAGCTTTTATAATATAATATTTAAAGTTAATTTTATTATTATATTAATAGAATTATCTTTCTTATTTATTTACTTTATTTTAATAATCTTTCTTATTTTATATAATTTTTATAATAATATAATATTAATTATAAAGCGCTTTTTCTTTATTATTCTTAGCTTTATAAGGCATTTATATAAACTATATAAGTTTATATAAATAATTAAAGGTATATTTAATAATAAGAATTATTTTATAATTATCTTAATTATTATAGCTAAGGAGATTTTAATATTTACTTTATTTATTATACTATAAATTTTACTTATTAATATGCTTTAAGTAATATATTTATACTTTATTAATAATTAATAATTTATTAATAATTAATAAAGAATATTGCTTATTATTATAAATCCCTTAATTTCCTTATAAATCTTATTTATAAGGATAATAATATATTTAAGTTAAGATATTAAGTTTTAATTATTTACAAATAATTTATTTATAAATATAAAAAGTTTTATTATTTTAAGATTTAAGGGCATATACTTAATTCCTTACATAGCATTATTTATTTATTATAATAATTATATATTTAAGCTTTTATAATTTTCTACCTTTAAGTTTTATATTTATATAGCTATTAAAAGATTATATAAAGCTTTTAATTAGTAAATTAAAGCTATATATATTTTATAAGCTCTTTATTTAAGGTATTTTTAAAAAGTATCTTTAATTATTGCATTAATAAGGGTAAGTTTATTAACCTATTCCTTTTATTAAGTAGTAATTAAGCTAGTAATATTTATAGTTATATAAGCCTTATTATAATTTATTAAGTTTTTAAGTATTAACTCTTATTTTAATTTTCTTTATAATTTTATAGCTTTTATCTTAATTTCCTCCTTATTCTAAAATTTTAATATAAATAAAATTAATATATTATTTATTTATATACTTATTATTTTAAAGGGTTATGCAGGCTTTATAATTATTAAATAAGGATTATATATAAAGTAGTTTATTTTAAGCTTTTATTAATAATGTTTTTAATATATATTAAATTAATAAATACTAAATTTTATTATATTATATAAGGATTAAATAATATAAATAATTATGCTTAAAGGGTATTTATTCTTTAATTCCTTTAATAGCTTTATAAGGATTATTTTATATAATTTTAACTTTACTTAAGAATAAATTTAAGTAATATCTTAAAGTATAAGAATTATGCCTTTTTTTTAAATTAATAAAAAAGTAAGTATAAGGATTATTTATTAGCTTATTCTTTAAATAATTAAGCTTTGCATTAAAATTAATTTCTTTTTATTATTATTATAACCTTAAATAATAAATTAAGATTTTTTATAAAGTTTTATAATTTTACCTTTTACCTTTTATATTATATAAAACTTAAAGAAATAATATTTACTATATTACTTTACTAACTATTTTTTAATTTAAAAAATACCTTTAATAATAAAGTTATTAATTTTCATTTTATTAAACTTTTTAAATAATAAGCTTAATATTATAATAATTTTATCTTATCTTAATTTAATTATTAAATTATAATTTTTATTTTCTTTCTTTAAAATATATAATATAATAATATAGTTTTTTTTATTTAATAATAATAAATTATATAATAAGTTGCATTTAAGGTTTTATAATTAAGTTTTTTACTTATAAGGATTACATTTCCTTATTATTATTTTAATAATATAATTAAATAATTATTAACTTAAATATTATAACTTTATTTAGCATATCTAAGGTTATATTATAACTAT